GTCTAAATTATCCTTAACACATTTTCTGCAACAAAGTTCTCTTAAAACTTACGTTTTAATAGAACCATGTTGCGAAAAATCGGGTTTTCACCCGACTCAACTTTTTCAACCCGTTTACCTCAACCCCAACCGAAAATAGTATTAGAGAGAAAAAAAAAGAACATAGGAAAGTAAAAAAAAAATCTCAGGGGGGGGGAAACCAACCCTTGATTAATTAATAAAAAATAGATAAAATTGATAACCTTACAAAAATATGCCTGGAAATAACCACTGAAAATAGAGTTTGTAGTAGATGTGTAAGTATGTTTTAATACATCCCAGTTGAGTTTATTTGTAAAAAATTTAAGTCAACTTTTGGTTTGAACATAGATCAAAAATTTTAATTTATAATCATTTCGCAATATTTATTGGATACTTAAATAGAATCACAAGTAGGAAAATACCAAAAGATTTGGATAAGAACACCTTAGGGATAATAAATTAAATAGTAGTAAAAATAAAAAAAAGATTTTCAAACTCTTTCTAATTAACAAGTGAACAGCTACTCAGAAAATTTTTCAGAAAACATTTAAGCAACTAAATAAAATGAGAATCCTTTAGAATAAACTGATGCTTAATCAATTCCAAAAGAAGACTTTCTTAAAGAGAATTTACAATAATAAATTGAATAGGAGGAAAGAAAAGAATAAGAATTATTAGTTTGTTATGAAGAACAAGAACCTACAGGATTGGTTTCTGTGTTATTATTAAAAGAAAGATATTGTGTTGGAGATTGCAGTAATTTCAAAGAAAAAGTTGATCAAATAAAAATTACAAATACATTTTTCTTAAGTAATGAAAAACAAGAAACTCCCTCATAGAATTCTTAGAGTAGCAAATAAGAGATTAATATCGACTCTAACTCTTAATCATCAAGATAGAAATTATACTCAAATAGATTATATCTTGAGTTAATATTCTACAAAGAACAATTTGTAAATCTTCTTAAAGATTTTTCAAACATTATAGAAGGAAAATAATTCTTAGTCTAAAATAATTATTAGAAGCACTAACAAACTTTTAAAAAATAAGAAGATCTATTATTAGAGACTAGATCCTAATTTTATACCTTATTAGTAAAGAAATTTACATCTGAATTTAAATAACTAAACACATAGTAATTCAATTTAAATACTATCTTGAGTATCTACTGGGAGATTGGAACTCTTTAAGGTATTAAGGAATCTCATGCTGATTTAATTGATGCTTTAAAAGAAGAATTAATGCTAAATAGCATTATTTAGTGTGGAAATTTTAATATGGCATTATTTCTATCTGATTATACATTCTTAAGCAAATTCATTACTCCATAAATTTCCAAAGAAATCAGAAAGAAAAATGAAAACTTAAAAATTTTAATTAATTTTTGTTAAGTACAAATATTTGGTCAAGAAGAGTCTGGTAACATTAAAAAAATTTTTACTTTCAACTAGGCTAAAGATTGTAATTCACTATCCTAATTGATAGAGTAACAAATAAATACAGTAATCAAAAAATTTTAAAATATTTTAATAACTATCTTGTCAGTTGATAGGATTAAATAATAATGTAAAGAGAGAATTAATAATTAAATTCTTAGTTTCCATCATTCCAATATAGAACTTAAGTACTTTTCTATTAAATAAAAGTAAAGATAGCAAGTTTAATAATTCTAATCAAGATAATCATAAATAACAGAATAAGAATGGGATCTTTTAGAAAGTGAATATTATAAATAAAGATATACACTCTCAAAAGAAGGATTGTTCCTTTCTTATAAACAATTGAGTGAAAATATTGATGAAGAATTGTTTAGTTTTGAATGTTAGGTAAAGTTAGTAATTAATTATTTATAGCTCCACAGTTAGAATATTAATATGTGAACCTATAAATCAAGAAATGATATGATGATCAATTCTATACAAAAATGGAAATTATTATTTTATTTTTTTTATTCGCAAATAGATCTTAAATATGTATCTTCTAATGAAAATTAGCTTTCATAATTACAGACCTTTGTCTCTAAAATCAAATAAACAGATGACTATTGTTGATCAGTAAAATAAAGTAATATTTATAAATCAATAATTAATCAAATACTAAAGAAAACAGCTTAATGAAATTAAGTTAGTATCAAAATTAAGTTTCATTATTTATATAAACTTAATATGAAAATAATTATTATTATTAAAAAATGATAAACAATTAATTGATGTTTTTGATCATCAATTCAAATTTTTTAGCTACTAATTCTAGCTTATATATTATTAGCCTAAGATATTTCCCACATATTATTGCTAAGTAATTAGTAAAAATATTAGTTATCAAATTTATCATTAGTATTTCATTCTTTCTTTAGTGATTAGAAACTTGTTTATATTTGGAATAAATACAAAGATAAAGTTTTTCCTTATAGTACTCTGTTTTATCACTTAAATGAAAACTTCCATAAGCATTTTATGAAATTAAATGAAATTTATCATATATAAAAATAATGTAATAAAAGAGGTATGATTCTGTACGTAAGAATAAATTGTAAGTACATTAATCATAACCACTTCAGCTGTAGTACTCTTCATAGCCTAAACAAACACCTAACAAATTTCAAATTGCTAAGATTGGGAAAGATGTTGCACCTACAATCATCCCTGCATTGATCGATATGATCAATTAAGAAACTGATGTGTATTATTTATTCGACTCATTTCACTCTATTCTGAATTCAGTGAAATAAGCCGAAGAGGATACTAATATTACTTAAAAGAACAAGCAGCATACACTAGATTGGTGGAAAGTTACTGGATCTAGTTAAAGTTGGACAGGGGTACGAAATATTCAACCACTTTCAGAATCTCATATGAAGCAATCATCACGTTTTCTTGATAGTTATAATAGCAGAGGGTCTGCTATTATTGAAAATCTTAAACGTTAAATAGGAGAGTTGACAGAAGAACAAAAGTTTAAGCAAAACTCTCGGACAATTGGCTAAGTTTCGATTAAACTATTTGATGAATAAGAACTCTATGTTGAAATGTCAAAATAAGGGAGAACTTTGATTACTCTATATCAAGTGTAAAATAAGTTTCATAAATGTCATATGGGTTTTTGCATATATAGTGTTTTTGGAGATTTGCAAGAAAAAGAGAGCATAATTAATAAAATGTATGTGGCCAAGTGGCATAGAAAAAATGGCAACTTTTTGAATCTTGTCACAGAATTTATTTAATATATCATCAAAAACGAGGCTGTAAATAAAATAAAAATAAAAATAAACTCAACATAAGGGCAGCTAATTAGGCACCTTTAATAATTAAGCTTTAAATTAGCTTCTACTGTACCATTAATTAATCAAATAAAAGTACTTACATTTGTTCTAATCTCAAAGGAATTTAAAATTTGATTATTTAATTTTGTCATTTTGTTTATTATTGTTATCTAATTCACCTAGTTCAGAAAAAATTATTTTATTTATTAAAGAATAAACGAAATGCTTAATACAAAATATTTGGATTAAGACAACTTATTTGAATTGATTATTTTTTAAGGATATAAGAATCTTGTGTTCTATTGGAATTTCGCTAAAGGAATAGTCAACACAAAAGCAGAGATTCAAGATCTTTTGAAACAAAATAGAATACAAAATATATATGGTGTAAGTGAAGGCCTGAAAGGATTCAGCCAAGCATTTTCAAGCGAACCCATTACTAATTTCAGATACTTTTTAACAAATTATTTTAAGTTCACCATTTATGAAATGTGTTCAGGTGTGAAAATTATTTTACTATCCAACATTTCTGATTAAACTGATTATTCAGAAACCCTTAAAGAGGTGTACACAAACTATTTGGAAATTATAAAAAGAAATCCTTTTTATGTACACGGAGAGCCTTTGGATAATCCTCTATTTATAGAAAAAATTACAGATATTTTTGAACCATTTCAAAAGAAAAAATGAATTAATTTTATACATAAATTAATAAATAAAATATATATCGTTTATCAATAAATCACACATCTTTCCCACCAGCTAGGATATGAGGACTTTGATTTAAAATATCGAATCTAAAGTTTAATAAATTAGATACCAAATATTTACGTCCTTCATTCCAAATGATTATCAAAATACCAAAGGGAAGACCACAGATACCATAATGAATAAATAATATGTCTCGAGTACCAAAACTTGCATTGAATACTTCAACATAGGAAAGACTTAATGTGATGAGCAACTCCAAAAAGTAAGCTAAATACATATGAACATTATCAAATCCTATAATTTACAATCATATTTACCATTATAGATTAAGGAATTTTTAAGTTATCTTAAAGATTAATAATTACATATCTATCCTAAAACTACACCAAAAAAAAATGAAGTTTATGCATAGCTTGACGCTTCAGTATGATAACAATATGGTTTATTTGTAACAGGTGAAATCATCTCAATATTGCATTGACCCCATTCTATACTAGAAACTATCTTTCTATTTTCACATTTCAATAGAGTCATTCTTAAATCGTAAGCCCCGTGTTTCGCATATATCCAATCAATATCTTAAGATCCCCTTAAATGAGTACCTTCACATACCCCATTTGGATACAGTTCTCTTAAATTAGAATTTCCAAACCATGGATCTCTTGGATCATAAATATCATTATATTTAGGAATAACTCCTTATTTATTAAGAAGAAAAAGGAGAGATTAAGGAGTGAATCCAAAATCATTAAAGCAAACATACCATTAAAAAAACCCACAACATGTTTCTAATACTCCATTTTAAGCGTACGCATATATTATTAATTAACTACTGACTAAATGTTCATTTTTATTCCTAGGTCTTCGAGTCATAATGTCCAAATCAGCCTCTTCAAAAACAAATACCATTGATGGAAATATGTCTGTACCAATTTAGACACATAAAACCAGAACAGTTGTTAAAGGCAATGGAACTCGAAAAATTATAAAAGCTAAAAAAGGTATTAATTCAGCAGTGTTGGCAGTTAATGCATATGCAATTACTTTTTTAAAATTATCAAATATTCTCCTACCTTCTTAAATTCCCACAACAATATTAGAGAAATCATCATTCAAGAGTATCATATCTGCTGCATCTTTAGCCACGTCTGATCCTGTTAAACCCATAGCAATGCCAATATCAGCTTTTTTTATTGCAGGTGAATCATTTACACCATCCCCTGTTACAGCAACAATATGACCTCTCTTTTAACAAGCAGTCACTATGATCAATTTTTAAGCTGGACTTGTTCTTGCAAATACTAATTGTGGTTTGCATAACCATTCTTAAAGAGGCTTCCCTTTTTCACTTTCTGGTAATCCTTCATCATCAAGCGCCATTTTAGTTAACAAATCACCATGAATTACTAATGCATTTGATAGATGGATAGCATCTTCCATTATCATTTATTTTTCTTCCATGATTTCATTAACAGTTTTTTCTGTTATTATGTTACATTGCTTTGCTATTGCTGCTGCTGTTACCGATTGATCTCCTGTGACCATTATAACTTAAATATTTGCTGATTTACACTTTTAAATAGCCACTGGAACAGATTCTTTAGGAGGATCAATTAAGGATATCAAACCTATAAATATTTGTTATTCGAATGGAAAATTATAATTGTCCATATCAAATGAATAACCTTTTGGATATTCAGATTTTGGTAAATTTAATCTACAAAATCCCAAAACTCTTTCGCCTTGTCTGCAAAATTTATTATTAATTTCATTGAATTAATGATTCCAATCATCATTAATTTCTTCAACTTTTTCTTGATTTTAAATCCAATTGCACATCTTCCAAATTCTTTCAGGTGCTCCTTTTGTCAATAGGCAATAATAGGAATCCTCCAAATCCTATTCAATTATAACCATAGAGTATTTGTTTGTTGAATTAAAGGGTTTTCTTGCCTGTTAATTGTTTTTACCATTTGCTACTTAGTATTTCAACCTAGTTTTTAAAATATCATTTATTGGCTAAAAAAATTTAATGAGAGCAGTTTCTGAAGCATCTCCAATTGTAGGCTTTTCTTAACAACTTAACCTCTAGAAGTTATTTTGCCATTTAATCTTTGCTTCTTCTAATTTGATTGCTTTTTATTCTTAAGATAATCCAATTTCGTTCATTATCTTCATAGAAATATTTTAAGGAATTGAAGCATCAAAGGTGGCTTCTGAGCACAAAATTGCACTTTCATGCAACAAATCGAAACACTACTCTCCAGATTAATATTCATAATTAAAGGAAACTCCAAATCTTTCTTTGTTAATCCCTTTCACTTACTTTCCATTATACCACAAATTTTCAACAGTCATTTTATTTTAAGTTAAAGTACCTGTTTTATCAGTACAAATGCAAGAAGTAGACCCAAGAGTTTCAACCCCTTCTAAATTTTTAACAAGAACTTTAAGACTAGCCAATTTTTTTGCTGTTATTGCTAATGCTACAACTACTGTGGCTAATAACCCTTCTGGAACTATTGCAGAAATTATTCCTATCGCAAAAATTAAATTTTAAATAGCAGCTATTTATAAAAATATTTGATACGATAACCAACTGAAAAACCCAAAACAAAAAATAAAATTCCTATGGTTAAAGCTATACGAGCAATATAAATTGTAAATTAGTTCAGCTCTTTCTTTAAAGGTGTTTCTTCTATGTTTGAATTAGAAACTAATCCTGCTATTTATCCGATTACAGTCTTGTCTCCTGTTTATATCACCACTCCTTTACCATTACCCTAAAAATTAAAATTTAGATTCTACTTCTTTACAAAGAGTTCCAAAAAATGCAAGATTCTTTGTCTCTAAAGGATTTTCTTTATGAGTACAATCTATTGTACGAAGAAGAGGAATTGATTCTCCTGTTAAGCATGAGTTGTCAACTTTCATTTAATTGCTTTCCACTATTCTAATATCAGCAGGTATTTTTTTTCCTAAATCAATTATTACTACATCTCCAGGCACCAATTCTATGGCTGGTATTTTCAATTACTATCCATCTCTTATAACTATAGCTTCTGGAGGAATAAAATTTGAAAATCCAGCCATGATTGCTTCTGACTTTCTATTTTAAAAATAAGTTAAAAGTGTTATTATTACTATGACACCAACTAAAACAATTCCTAAATAAAGCTAATATAAATTTCCTAAATACTTAAGATGGGTCATCTGGAGATAAACCATAGGCTAAGAAACATAAGGCAGCTGCTCCCCACAATAATAATGAAAAAACGTTGGTCATCTGGTGCAGTAACTATAAATACCATGGAGATTTCTATTTTTAGGCCAATATGTTTTTTCCAAATTACTTTTATTTTTCTTCTATTTGATCGCTATTTAACCCTCTTTCTATTGAAGTCTATAGTTTTATTTGTAATTCATCCAACGAAATGTAATGCTCATTCTACCATTTTTAGATAATATTACCATATTCAAAAGAGTTGTAACATTTGTATTTTTATCTTATTTAACTTTTATGATGTGGTTGTCATCATTCATTAATAATCTTTTACGTCTTTAAATGATCTCTTCTTCTAACTTTGAAATTTCTCTTTGAGCATCTAATAATTGTAATTCTTAACTTTAATTATAAAATGAAATGATTACAATTGTTCTATATAAGCAATTATGATCTCCGATGTGCTTTTATTGAAATTATTTGACATCTTTAAATTTAAAGAATATGACTTTTAATCTTTTAATTAATTGAAGAATTATTTTTAGAACTTATTACATTCTGATTTTAAGGTAGAAATGATAATGAGAAATTTTTCAAAAATATTATGTTGAATTAGAAATTTCAATTTACTGCTCATATAATTTTCATCTCTTCAGACCATAATTTGTGTTAATGAATTAATATTAGACATATGGATATTTTAACCATTCATTGGGTATAAATAAGATAAAATGTAAAATTCCAGTAGATTTTGTGTATACTAATATGATTTATCAAATGAGATTTGGATCCTCAAATTTCAAACAAAATTTTCATAATTAAATTAAATTATTACATTGTATTTCTATAAAAGATGAGCAGTAATATTTTCTTTCTTTAGAGAGAAAATGAAACCATTAAATATGCAGCAATAAATTATATCATTAAAAATTAATCATAAAACAATGAAAATTTTTCATATTTCAGCGTAATTCAATAATTATTAACTGTTATATATTTATTAAATTTTAACGACATAAAAAAAAAATGAGAGCACAATCTCCAACATCGAAATTTATCCCCACATCTACAATCACAACAACTAGATTAGTAAGTTCCCCTCACTCAAATATAAGAGATCAAAGAGCTGATTCATCAGTGAATAGTAGAGTCACAAAAATAACAACATACTAAACAAGGCCAAAGACAACTATAACAACAACCACTACTTATAGACCAGTCATTGAGACAAGAACAGTAAGGTTATGCACAGATAAGAGATGCTAAGGACATGAATAGCATATTGAATAATTAACTTAAGAGAACCAGTAATTACATTAAAGAATTTTTGAACTTTAATAAGAAATAGAGTAGACATCCTTATGTCAAAGGTAACACACTAATACATATTCTTGTGAGATAGATAATATTAGAAAATTATATGAAGAATCATAGATTAATCATAAATCTGAAATTGAATATCTTACCTAAGAGATAACATAATATAAGACTTAATTCTAACATTCAGATGATTAAGTGAAATACTTGACTTAATAATTAAGAAAATAATCAAGTAATGAGAATTTAGAAAATTAAATCACTTTACTAACAACTGAAATGGAAAGATTAAATATGATTATTCTAGAAAAAAATAATTTTGTGGAATAATTAACTTAAAAAATTAATGAATTAGATTCTGAATTAATTAATAAGGAAAATATCATTGAAAATTTAGAAAGTAATTCTTCCAAATTAAGAAAACAATATTAGGAGGCTTGCAATCAAGTTGTTCTTATTCGATCAGAGTTAGATAGATAATTGGAAACTATATAATAATAGGAAAGAAATATATTCCTTTTGAATCAAGATAAACAAGCTATTGAATAATATACATTTATTTTGGAATAGAAGGAACAATAACTTTAATAATTAAGAAGTAATATTTAATTATTAGAAATGAGATTGTAAGAACAATAAACTACAATATAAGCATAATATAAGGAAATTGACAATCTTATGCTAAGATTGGATTCTGCTAATTAATAAATTGATTATTATCAAACAGAATCTGATGAACTTTAAAAATATAGAAATATCTTGTAGAATGAATTAGAAATGTCTAAATAAGAGAATGTAAAATTGTAGGATCAAATTACAAAATTAAAATAATAATAGACTGATTTAACTAAAACAATTGAAAAGTTAAAATTGGATCTTAATTAATAATTAAGTTCAATTTCATAAGATTTCAATTTTGAACTATAATCAAAGAATGATGAATTGGAATAAAATAAATCTTAATATTAATTAGAATTAACAGTCATTACTAAAAAGTTTTAAGAAGAGAACTATTAACTTAGAATTAATAATGAAGATTTATAGAATGAGATAAATTAATTAAATAATGTCAACTAAATCTTACAGAATACTGTAGATGAAAAGATAAATGATATCTCAAATTTGAAAAACCAATATACTTAATTATATAGTGAATATAATACATATAAGATGAAACTTTAAGAAGAGAATCATAAATTAAAATTAGAAATAGAAGATGCATTAATTACATCTAATTAGTTATAATAAAAAAAGAATTCATATGAATCAACAATTATGGAATTAAATCTTGTCATAAATTAATTATAACAATAAATAACTTAGTAATAAAATGAATTGAATTCATTAAAATATAAATCTGGTGAGGAATATTCAACTTTAAGAATTCAAATTGAATAACTTGATTAAAATAATATACAATTATAGACTATAAGATCAAGATTATAAAAGGATTATGAGGAAAAATTGAATGAACTTAAAGATTTATAAGATAAGTTTAATTAATACAAATAAACTACCTAATAAACAATTAAAGATTTAGAGAAGAAAATATATGAATATGAAGAAAAATTATCCTTATTATCTTCAGAAATTCAAAGAATGTTATTCTAAATAAATTAAAAGAATGACATAATTTAAGAATAAACTACAGTTTTAGATGAATATTAGAGAGAAATCAAATTGTTGAAATAATAACTTGAAGAGAGTTAATTATAAGCTGAAGAATAATAAAAGAAATTAGAATTATAAATGAATGAAGCATTGACATAATAAAGAGAGAAATTATTTAGATTTGAAAGTGAAAATCTTTCCTTTAAGTCTTTTATTGAAGAGTAAAATCATGTAATTGAGACTTTGTCAAGATAAATTGATGGTATGACTGGTGATTTAAAATATTAACAATAATTAGAAGAAGAGTTGTCAAAGAAAAATTCATTCTTAACTAAATAATTGACAGAATTATAATCTGAAAATGCTGAAAATTAATTTAAGGTTGAGCATTTATTAGTTGAAAACAAATCTCTTAAATAAGAACTTGAAATTAGAATAGACACAGAGTCAGAACTTAAATTTAAATTAGATAAACTTATTGAAGAATTAGCAAAGAAATAACAATAAATTAATGAATTTGAATAAAGAATTAAAGAATATGAGTCAAACTAATCAAATGAAGTAGTTTAATTTGAAGAAAAAATAACTTATTATTAAAATGAAGTTGAAACATGGAAAAAGAAATTTATTGTCTTAAATAAGGATTATCATAAGACTTAAGAAGATTTAATGATGGTTTAAGCTGAATTTGATGCATTTAAACAAAGAGGAAACCCAACTGTAGTTAGAGTAATTATAATATTTAATATTTTAGGAATCTACTAGTTTTGAGGTTCGTAAATCATCTTTATATAAAGAAAATATTTCAAATACTAAATCAAGTTAAGTCAGCCAATCCAGTCAAATTATTGTTAAGCCATTAAAAGAAGTTAATATTTGAGATTACTATTATAAATAATATTATATATGATTCAAATATATATTCTTTAAGAAATGAAATAGATTATTAAAGTAAGAAAAATTCATTTAATTTTTAAATACTTTTTGTAATTATAATTATTTTTATTTCTCATTATGGCTTTTCTAAGTATTCGGCAAATAGATCAGTATCATTATTATTATTTTCTTCATTACTTGCATTGTTTATTTTTGCAAATTGCATAGGAGCTAATTTATTATCTAAAATGCTATAAAATAATAAATAATTATTACTTGAAACATCTTATATCTTCAACTAGAATCTAAATAGCTATAATTAAAGCAAATAAAGAAAACGATATTAATACTTTAAAAGTTCCCATTATATTTCTGTTGACAATGTCTAATAAGAATGGCATAAACACAAAAATCAAATTTTAAAATCCTACTGTAAGACCAAATGCTTTGCCAAATGATTTCAATTTGATTATGTATATAATTGCACTCCAAGTACATACAAATGATAAGCAATAACCTATTGCTAATATGATTAGACCTATATGAGGTGAGGTTAAGTACTATATATGGCCAATAATTATAATTATAACAGAAACTATAATTAAATACCTTCTATATGTAAAATATTAAACCAAAGGACCAATAATAAAAAGTGATAAGCAACCTAACATCCAAAATAATGCAATATCTAATTCCTCAATTTGATTATTTATATCAAATAAAACCGATGCCATAATATACATTGACACATTCACAAGTGTGACTATTGAACAATAAAATACAGAATTAAAAGCTAAAAGTAACCAAAACATTTATGGAAAAATCTTAAAATCTTTGAACTTAAAGAAATAGAGTTTATTAATTATTTTTGTATCTTCAGTTAAAATAATGTCACTACTTGGTTAGAGTTGTCTATAGGAGGATAAATAATTTTCATTTTCTAATTTCTTATCTATCAAAAAACCAAGGCATAATAAAATATAGCCAATTAATATAAATGCTATTCCACTTATTAAGGATGTCATCAAATTATATTTTTTTTAGATAATTGGTGTTAGATATATTGATAGTACTAAACCGATTTATGAAAATAGTTGTAAAATACTCAAAACTATTGACTATATACATAATTCAATGTTACAATGCTATTCTTAAAAAAGGGGGCCAAAAAAGATGCCCATAATGGTAACAATGACTCAATACCCCAACCTAAAAGTAATCTACCTAAAATCATGAATAAAAATGATTTAAAATAGACTCCTACTGTGAAAGTTAGTTATCCTATTATCATAATAGCTATAATAATTAATAATATTTACACCTACTATATAAGTCATAATTATTCTGTCACCATGACAATCTCTCATTCCTCCTGTAAAAAGAGGCAAGAAGGCATTCCCAAATGCATATATTATATAAAGAGATGCAAAATATAAGTCAAAATTTATCGTTGAATCTTCTTAAAATAATTATTATAGTGTTTTATATATTGCCACTGGTTAGTCAAAGCAATAAAATGAAGGAATAATTATCCAGATTGACAAAAATAAAACTAGGTATCTTAAGATGGATTATTATTTCATATGTATTCCATTATTTTATACTGTTTTATCAATTAGTTTCGTTTTACTATAATTATTGCTTTAATCAATATAGCTTTCTATAAACTCTGTATGCGATGCATTCATTATTCTCTATATTGAAAATAAAAACGTATATAAAATAAATATTAATTATAATTAATAAACAATTCATAAATTGATTAGAAAAATCACTTATCAACCACATAAAAAAATAGTCATTTATGCATAAAAATATAATAATAATTTAATATTGAAGATAGAAATCTATAAGTTATTTTGTAGATGAAAGTTCTTTGTTTGTTTTGAAGTGGAATAAATAATAATTAAGAAATCTATATATGTAAATTAATATTTTCAATATTGTGATTATTAATGTTTTGATCTTTTAGAATTTTATTTTTTATTTTATGATAGAACCATTTAATCAGTACTTTCTTTTTATAATTCTTCTTTTGTATGTCTTGATTCAGCCAATGTCTTTCTCTTCTCAACTACAAAATAATAAATTTTCTATACCCTCTGTCAATATAATGTCTAAATCATTTTAATGATCAGTTTAAGATTTTAATTCAGTATGTTATTTTGTACCTGATATTTCACTTTTATCATCATCAAATTTAACTGTTCCTTTCTTTTATTTCTTTTGATCTTATTTTGGAATATATTAATTTGAAACTAATAAAATATTATCTATTATTTTTTCTAATTATTCTATTTTTGGCAATAGGGTTGTTTCATCATCATCTCCATTTATAATTTCGACTCCTATTTATTCTTAAATCCTCATATACTGTTACTAAATTTAAGCTATTTATTTTTTATTTTAATCTATTCCTCTTGAGATTCTTTCAATCTTAGAATCTTCAGAATTTACTTATTCTTTAATTGGAGCTTTTGCCATTTATTTAAACTTTTATAAATATTATTATATTTTCTCATTCTTTTATTCAGTTTGTTCAATCTTAAAATATAATTAGAATTATTACCTCTTAATTTATCTCATTGATTTCTTTATAGATTTCATCAATCCAAATTTCTTAATTATAATATTATTTCAGTATTGCTTCAACATTATTAAATCCTGTTTCTAAATAAAGTTTATTAAATTAAGCCTCATATTCAAGAACTTATTAGGCAACATCTTTCTATTCCTATTATGATTCACTTCTTTCTTTTAATATTGGTTTTGATTAATCACCTTATTCTGTTAAATAAGGTCCTTAAACTTAAGATTTTTAATCTGAAGCCATGCTTTATTGTTCCTATTATTCATCTTTTTAAGGTTTGAATAAGGCATCATATTCTTGTTGGAATTTTGTTTGTTCTTTATCAGCTAATTCTTTAATCAATTTCAATTAGTCTTGAAGAAATTTTTACTATAATTTAAATAAATTTAGTTACTTCCTCTTTAAGTAATTCATTTTATCTTATACAATTTTAATATTCTCTTTATTTAAAAATAGCATCTTTTTCTATTCCTTTAAATACTGTTGAATAAATAACTCTTTCTCTTCTACTAAGATTCAATTACTCTTTTTCTGCTTCTACTTCTGCTAATTATTCATTATGTTTAATGTGAATTTATTACAGTTTCAATTCTGCATCTCGAACTGCCTATCATATTAAATATTGATTTTACTTTTTAAACTTAAGTTAATTCACTGCCAGAATTAGTATTTTCTATTTTTGAAATATCTTTTGCACTTGTTTTCATAGCATTTACTAGATTTTCTAAGTCTTACTAAAATATAAGTAATTTATTACCTTCTTTTTAGTTTCTATTTCAATTTTTTAAGCAATCAAAGCACATTCTTCTTAAGCCTTAATCACACTCAAAGCTAGTTAAGTATCGACAACTGTATTTTTTTATTTTTAATTGATTAATTAATCTGTATATTCAGAATTGTCAATTTTCATTTATGAGATGAGAGATCTAGTTAAGATGTAATGTATACTTATTTTATGTTGTAATTTGTTGAAAATCAGATTTAGCTTTTTGGATGGAAGTGTTTAGAGTTGAAATTGTTTAACTTTGATTCATTTAATTATTATATATTATTAACATTTTATAGGGGTAATGTTATACTTGATAAATCGTAAATAAATTTAATTAAAAATATCATATGCTACTTTCGACATCAAAATTAACGACTTCCAAACTTACTAAATCTCAATTATCAAGTCCTTAAAGATCCACCATTAACTATTTGAGTTAAGACCTTGATTCCCCATCAAGATAAAGAATTAAATTATTATCAGACAAATGGAATCACATTCAAAATGGAATTGATAAAGATAAAGTAGAAAAAAGAGAAGTATTGGAAGAAAGAATCAAAATTATTGAAGACGTACTTGCATCTGAAAAACCTAAAGATGAATAAAAATTCAAAGTCATTAAAGATTCAGTCTTGAAACTATAAGATTAAGCACATAATCAAAAATCAGAGAGAGAAGTATATAATTAAAACCATAATTTCTAGGCATTTGATGATAAGAAGGAGAAAGATTTCAGAACATTATCTGATAATATTGCATTATCTTTTGAATAGGAAAGAAATATTAGAGGATAAGGAGAAACAAAGTTGTAGAAGTAAATTGACGAACGTTTTGCTTAGATAACTCTAACTATAACTAGAAATACTCATTAATATGAAGACAGAAGTTAGGCTAAAATTGCAGAAGTTCTTTAATAAATATAAGTTGTTAAAAATTAATTAGATTAAGAAAGAAGATCAAGGTATTTTAGAATGCATATAAAAATAGGGAAGAATCAGCTGAATCATTATCTGAATAAATTGATAGTGAAATTAACAAATTTTCAGATTAATTGCTTGTTGAAAAGAAAGTAAGAGAGGAAACATAAGGAAAAATATTCAGAATGATTGAAGATGTGCATGGCAAATTATAATAAGATATTAATTTTGAAAGAAGGGAAAGAGAAGCAACTACTGAAGCATTATTAAAATTATTAGAGGATGCATGCATTAAAATAGATAAAAATTTCAGATCATTTTGATTTATTATATTATATTATTATAAATTGGAATCTACATATAATTTCCAAAAAATTAATACAATTAAATATCAACTGCTAACCATTCTTTAAATTTTTTTATTTTATTTTTAAGATTATTAGTATTATTTTTCCAATAATTGATTTTGGGATGCAAATGAAATAACAGTTTTTTTATTAATAAGTTTATTAAATGGAATTCTTTATTTAGCAATATTTTATTGTTGATTTAATATAGAATTAATAGAATTATTAATTGTTTTGTTTAGATTAATTTGAGATGTATTATTACTATGAAATTTTAATTCTTTTTTATAAAAATAATTTCTGCCCACTGTCTAAGGACCTACTCTAGATTATGAAGTTCTTTCTTGTTATTCTTATTATTTTATAAATTATTAATTTGAATTACCAATTTGTATTGTCTCAAAATTTTAATCTCTATTTAAACCATACATCATTTTCAATGCTATTTTCTCTTAAATAATAAACATTAATTTACTTCAAAATATTCCTTAGAACTCTAGAAATTTGATAATTTAGACCTTTCAAATTTATTTCTGTTAGGGTAACACTGAACAAAGAATCCAACATTTGTTTTTTCTGCTTTAATATTAATAGTTTAGGTTTCTTCTTATTTTGTTGTAATTAGAGAACAATCTTTAGGCTTAGGAGATCTGAGTTATTTCATTAATTATGTTCTGCTTTTTTATTCATTATGAATTGATGTTGATTTCATAATTGTTTCATCTAATGGAAATTATGTTTGTTTAATGGTTTCTTATGATATCCTTCTACCTGATTGCATTTATGCTATTTGTCTGGTGGAATTTATTATCTTGTCAGCATGATGTTCAGAGACTGATTTGCATAATTACAATGAGGAGATTCTTTAAAGTTCTTAATGTATGCTACCTCCATATTTATGCCATGGACCCAAATTTTCCATATCATTAATAATGAAAGAGTCTTGTGTATTTAAGATTAGACGTACCATCTCTACTTAAACAGTCGTATATCTCAGCTTCTTTGTTTTCTTTAGATCTCAACATAAATTAATTAAATAGGTAATATTGTTAGATGAAAAAATAATAATTCGAATACTGAATAACCAAAGAGATAGAAAACAAGAATATAAGAGAAATAAGAAAATAATAAACCAAGTAGCTTGATCAAATTTAAATATGAGCATTAATATGATGCTGAATCAGAAATAACTCTAATTAATAAAATCTCGCTGGAAAGTACTCCAAGAAAATAAGAAGAATTAATAAAGTGATAGTTCTATCTCTAAGACTTCTTTTAGGTTCAAAGAAGATAGAATAATTTTGGAATTAAGTAGATCAAAAGTAATTATGCTTAATTGTCTAAAATTATTATTATTACTTATTTTGAGGATAGTATTTTGGAATTAATTAATGGTTCTTATGTATTTGAAGAATTCAAAAGGGTAGTTACATAAATATATGATTTATGAAAGCATAATATGCAAAAATTATAATCAATAGTATTTGCAATCAAGGATAGTATTGTAAATTATGATTAAAACATATTTTCAAAGTCTCTATAGATTTTCATGCAACTTCGAATATTTCAACTGAAGATTTATAGGATAATATTAATGCCTTCCTTTTTTTTTAAATTGGATAACATTTATCATTCATGTTCAAATCCAGAGATTTCAAATGATACATAAAAGTCTAATATATATTAAACATTGTCAAATTCTGAAAAAGGAAAATCTCTAGAACAGGTTGGATATAAAATCTAAGTGCTGTCTTTGAATTATGTGTGAAGATATAATATTCATATCATAGTAAGTTGATTAAAAACTTTCATATACTTTAAATAGAAATTGGTATATGGTATAATTAGCCTATGAAATGAAAAACAAGGTTGCTCAAAAGTAGATATCCTTCTGTGTTAAAACTATAGGAAATTTTAATAAAGTTAAAAATTCTATTACATATATTTTTAGTCTTTGGATACATTAGATTATTTTTTAGTCTATGATATGTTGTTAGCTGTAGCTAGAAATTTATCATTGAAACTACTTGATGAATATATTTATTCTCTAACCTAAATGATACGATATACATTCATTTGTTAGTTTACCACAATACTTCTTAATTTTTCTATTTATTAATAGTAACTGTACTAAATGTAATATAATATTTAAGTGATAGGATATTTTTAAAAGCAATAAGGAGACTATAGATGGAGTACTAGAATTATACTAAATATGAAATTATAAAGAGAAGATGATTATGGAAGGAAATATTGATAAGTTTTGGTTTGAAATAATAAAATGGAGAATAAGGATATATGAAATAAATTGTTTTATGAAAATATTTTGTTTTGCATAATTAATTAAATTAAAAATAACAGACAATGCTGAAAAAAGAAGAAATATGGCAATCTATTAAATTTTTTCAAAAGTAGAATAGGAGAGAATTAGATTAAACAAGAGAATCAGAAGATTAATCATCATTTATTTCTGATAATGAAAAAGAAAATTTATTTAAAAATAAATAGTAATCTTGTTAATGCAAATAATAAGTACTATAACTTAAGAAAGAATTCATGCTTTAAATTAGAGAGTTAAAGGCTTAACATTAAATTGAAATAGAAAATCTTTAAAATCAATTTTAAAAATTAATGATTGAACAAAAACAAAAATATGAATAAGAAATTTCATAGTTAAAAGAAGATCTTGAATTTTATATGTGTGAATAGAATGATAAAGAATTACTTGAATTAATAGAATAGGAATAGTAGAAAGATAAAGAAATATTTTAGTAATAATTAGAATATTAAATTACAGAGAAATTAAAATTGGAATAAAAACTAATGTAAATTTTGGAATTATCTTAGTCAATGTTAGAGAGAATTAAAATAGTATTAAGAATAAACATAGTAAATTTTGTCAAGTTAAAATACACAGTAAAATTACTAATAGTTACAACAAAGTGTACATAAGAATTGTGCTCCTCAATTATTTAGAGATACTAATAGGAAAGTGAAATTATAAACTGAAGGAATAGATAGATCAATAGTAAATGATGATAATAGTAATAAAGTGGGAATATGCAATTCAATTAAAAATTTTAATGCTAATATTAAGCATATGGAAAAATCTCAATAATCATAATATTGATTATTAATTTTATTTTATATATTATGTCAATTAAAATTAAATCTGTGACAGAAATAATTAACAAATATGACCATTTTATTTTTGATATGGATGGTGTTATTGTATGAATATTATATTATATATCAGTGGACAGGTGGATAATTTATTGAAAGTGGAGTTAATGGAGTAAAACATTTAATTGAAAAAGGAAAATCAGTATATTTCTTAACAAATAATTCAACGAAAAGTAGATAATCTTATTTTGAAATATTATCAAATATTGACATAAAAACAGATCTGGATCATATTTATTCAAGTTCATATTTAACTGCAGTTTATCTAAAAATGAATAATTATAAAAAAGCATTTAATTTAGGAGTAATAGGAATAACAGAAGAATTATCAGCTTTAGGAATAAAAACAAGAGATTCTGAAGAATTTAAAGATAATTAATATGTTACATATGACATATTTAATAGTATATAACCTGATGAAGATATTGATTGTGTTGTTTCAGGTCATAATCCATAATTTAATTACTATATGTTATGTTATGCTAGTTTATGCATTCAAAAGGGATGTAAATTTGTGGCAGCTAATCCTGACAGCTATATTAAAGTATAGAATCGATTGATGCCAGCAGGAGGATGTATTTAAGCAATTTTGGAAAGAGCAACAGGATAAAAATCTCTTTTAGTAGGCAAACCTTCACCTACAGCTTTAGAAATAATAATGAAATAAAATAAGATTGATGATAAATCAAAAGTCGTAATGATTGGTGATAATCCTGAAACTGATATTGAGTTTGGATGGAATTGTGGAATAGATACTATTTTAGTAACTACAGGTGTTACAAGCTAAGAATAAGCTGAACATGTAAAAACAACATATGTATGTGATCATTTATATATATGAATATGATAATTATCATGCTTATTCTTAACCAACTTATAATTCAAGTTCTGCTATTCTTCTCTATAATCCTAGCAATTATTATTATAATGCAGTTTTTTCACCTTTTAATGCTGTTATTTGTTATTAAAGTCTAGAATTTTCAGCCTTTTAATGTGCAAAATGTCTAAAATAATCATTAAATAATAATACCTTTTCATTTCTTCTTCAATTCTCATTAATTCATTTGTTAGTGTTTTTTTTACATCTTATGTTTTCATACTTAAGACAGATTCTAAAGTATCTTTTTCAGATTTCAATATTTACACTTCTTTTTTATGAAAATTCATTTCATCTTAAATACCTTTGATTGTTTCCTATTATAAATATATTTTGATACTTCTAAACTCATTAATTTTCCTTTTAGTGAAGCAGGATTTTGTGATCCTGCAAAACTTTAACCTGTTTATCCAAGATCACCTTTAGTTAGATTATTACCAGCTGATTTGAAAGCATTACTCATTTATGATATAAATAAAATATAATTATTGCAATTTAATTATTATTCTTTATATTTTTAACAGAATCTTTAATATTATTAACATTAATATATCTATATATTAAATAACTCAAATTCAAACATTAAGTTTATTGACTAAGAGTTTTAAAAAGATACCAGCAAAAACATGAAACATAACAGCAATAGATATTAAAACTATGACACAATTCCACATTCCAAAATGCATACCATAATAATCCCATGGAGATATCTCTACTCCTGTAGGATCCAAGTGAAACGTAGCATCATTTAATTAAGTTCTACCAAATCCTTCTAAGAAATATTTAAATGGCTAATTTTATTATAAATATAATACTGAGATGTATTAGACCCAACTAATAAATTTAGGAATAGATGCTAAATTAGCATATTGTCCACTAAATACTTAGAGTGGGATCAATAATATAGGACCTAATGAAGCAGATTATTTAGCATCTTTAAACAAACATCCAGTAAATCTAATGATAATTTTGATGTATATACATTCCTAATCCATTTCCACTTAATGAAACTGAAACACTTATAACAGTAAAAAGTATAAGGTTTTCAAGTTGCCAAATAAATCCAAATGCAGCATACAATGCTATTGAGAATAAGATTTATATAAAAACATTCATAGGAACTTCTAAGAAAACCTTACTCAAAAAATATGAAGAAACTCGATACATCTTAGAATTCTCTTCTTTTAAAAAAATGTTTCTTTCAATTGGAACTAAAATAGAATAAAATTTATACATAACATTAATAATGGTCCTAGTGCAGAAAATATTGCTGAAGTTCCACAAACAAAACAAGCTCCTCTCATATTATTTAAATATTTGCTCAAATCACCTATACTAACATTTTCGTCTTGAGGAGGCTAATCTTTTCCAACCATCCAATTAAGCTCTCCCAGAAATAATAACATAAAGACTGATCCAAATATTTTACTTCTTAATAAATTAGGACTTCTAACATAATTTGTGAATTATCTTTGCATAAGATATTTCATTTCTTAACAAAAAGATGTTTAAGTTTTTCTTTTATTATATCCTTGATTTTGAGAATAGAATTTTTGTGTATCTTTTTCTAAATATAATTTATAATTTTCATGAGTAACTTTATTATCTCCTTAATTAAATGCATCATTAAGATTATTCATTATAGAATCTAAAGGAGTTGAATGAATATCAACATTTAAATTTACTTTGAGACAATAATCTAATAGAAAATCATAATTTCCTTAATATATTGTTTATCCATTATTTAATATGATCATACGATCAAATAATTAACAAATATCAATACTTGGTTAATGTATTGTAAAAATGACTGTCCTTTTTTAACTAAATTTTATTAAAATTTTAATACTTAATTGTAATTTTCTTAAGAATATTCATACAAATAAATGCTGTAAAAGAATCTAAACCTGAAGTTGGTTCATCTAAAATTAATACTTAAGGATCACTAATTAATTCCATTCCAATAGAAGTTCTTTTCTTTTCACCTCCAGATATTCCTTTTATGATATTATCTCCTACCAAAGTATTTTAACAACTTCTCAAATTCAAATCTTTAATTATTTAATCAACTCTAGACATTCTTTATGCTAAATTATCCTTTAATCTCATATTAGCTGCAAACATAAGTGTTTCTAATATTATAATTAATATATACCTTTTACAGTCAAGGTTGCCATCAATAAATCATCCTATATCACAAAAGCTCCAAAATCATTGAATCTTTTATATTTACTATTATTTGCTAATATTTCTCCATTAATATATGTATTTGGTCCAGGTTTATATCTTTTGCTTAATAAAGCAACTAAGGTTGTTTTTCCTGCACCAGATGGTCCCATAATTGCAGTCATTTATCCAGCTTTTGCATATCCTGAAACATCATTGAGAATTATTTTCTCATTATTATAACTTAGTAAAGGATCTGTCACTTTTGGTTTATTAGATTAAGCTTTCTATAAATTATAAATAATAATGATTATACAGTTGTAATTGTTACTGATAGATTTTTCCAAACTAAATCTATCTCTTAATTATCAAATTTGTTAGGTTTGACTTTTGGTAAACTGATGTATTCATCTTGAGATTACATAATAAGAAAAAATTTATTCTTAATTAATTATGTCACTATTTTATAATAATTCAATTTTCAAGCAATTTACGCTTAAGCTAACCCAATTTAGATGAAATTAAATCAACTGCTACAACAACTACTCTTTTTTATTTGATTCTAATTTATTTTAATTTAATTACCTATTTTAAGTATCAGTTTCATATTCATTATTTTTAAGTCTGCAATCAGTTTTTCTATTTTCAAGTTCTTTTGTTTTTATTGCTACTTTCTGATCTACTTCAAATTTCTCATTTGTTCCTTAGGTAATTTTAGTAGACAAAGAAGCAACCAAACCTATAATTAATAAAATATTTTTATACCTTCCATATATGTCTTATCTTAATTAGCTTATACAAGTTAATCAGATAAAAGAGTATTAAGAAGATCAAAATTACTTTATCTAAGAGCTTCTGCTTAATCCTCTCTTATTCTTTCAGATTGAATGTAATTTTCTATTTATTTCAATACTGAAAGAACTTTTCTTGTTAAGACTTCAGCCTATGAAGGTTCATCTGCAGCTTTAGATGCTAATTCACTCATTATTTCAAGCATACTGGCATATCCTTCTAATTAAACCTATAATATAATTTAATGATATATACATGATGTTTAATTTTGTTGACTTTTTAAGCAACTTAAGCTAAAGAGGTTAATGATCTTGATTCAGAATCATCTTATACTGATTCTTCATATTTAAAACTATATGATTCTTCTAAAAATGATGGTTTTTCAAATCTTTTTCTATTTTTGACAAGAATATCTAAGTAACTATTGAAATATCCCTTCACTTAATTAACTCCAAATAAAGCTTATTCTAAATTATCTAAAATAGTTTCATAGGCTGCAGTCTCAGTTTCCCTTTTATGAGATTAATATTGCAACTCAGCCTTGAGATCTGTAATTTCATTATTTTTTCTTTCCAAACTAGCAACAGCCTAAACTTTCTATGGATTCAAGGAATCAAGTTGACTCTTAAGACCAAGAGATGCAATAGTATTCTGATTAATTTAATTATTAAGGGTTGTGATATCTATATCACAATTCTATCTTATCCTAACTATACGATCATCATCTCTTTATTATTCATTTTCAAGTGTTGTCTCAATACCTTATACCATATTAATAAGATTAGACACAACTGGGTCTTCAGTTTGTAGCTCCATCATAATAGTTTGAAGAATTGTTTATCCAAACTTAGAGTTTTATAATTCTTCAATCTATTGATCAAAGTCCATTGTTAGGCATCCTAAAACTAATAGAGACAATAAAATCGAAATTTTCATATATTTATATATAATAAAATCCGTTTTTATTTATTGGTATTAATATTTTTTCAGAATCTTATGCGTTGAATATAGCTTTTAGTTTCCATGTCGAATCTTGTTTCAAAGATATCAATACATTCAACAATAATCTCAAGCTAAGAATTTCTATAAAATAAAAATTGAATTATTAATTACCTTGAATCAGTTTATTATCTATGAGCTTTTTCAGTGTCATTGCAAGTTTAATCCCAATCTCCTTTTTCAGTTGATTTATTTTATATAACCTAATATTAAATAATATAATATTACAGAATCTTAAGTGGCTACATCATTTTTGACTTCCAAAATCTTTTATCCCAAAACTAAATAACGAGCATTTAGTTCTGCAATACTTCCTTCTAATCTTCTATTGGCTAATAGTAATCTTTCTTTTTATGTTTAAAAATCTAATTCTCTTCCATCATCTGCTTTCATTTCTTCTTTTTAAACTTAGAATATGCTATCAACAAGTGTGTCAATAATTTTAACAACTTTTTATGCTGCACTTTCTTATGTTCCTTCATCTTATAATACTTCCAATAACATATTAACCATAGTATGGAATCCCTTTTTGTGAGGATAATATTTCAAGAAATTTTAATGATGACTCTTTAATTCAGCAAAACTAGTCTTCTTCAATGATGTAATTCCTTATGATAAAATTTATTTGGCTTCTTATAAGGCTGAAATCAATCCTACTAATTCATCTCTTCTTTATTCATATTCACTCTAATAATTATTAACATATTTAAATTACTCTTTAAACATTACGAGCCTCTTGCAATACACTAATTCTATCCAAATTTCTTTATTCTTCTCCTTATTTATCTAATAATTGTTATTTCTTATCATTTTATTCTTATTATAATAGAGGCAATCTATCTTCTGATGTTGCTTTTCTTTCCTTAGCAACTGTTATTACTGCAGCTGCTTATTCAGATGCTGTTTGACAACTTTACAATGCCACTTACACATCTTCATCTTCAGCTCTCTATTCATTGAGAAGGTCATCCTTCATTTGCTTAAGGAGATGAACAACTGTATCAGCAGGATGTTCTTAAAGCAATTATACTTATATTGTTTATATAATTGTTTTTCCAAATTCTGAATCTCTTAATTAAGCAAAGAAATATTCATCTCTTGCTAGAGCTGCTCCTATCAGCACAATCAATACAATTATTTTCATTTTAGTTTTATTAATTATTAAAAAACGAATATATGAAGTAAAATTAATTAAAATAATCACTGAGTACCATATTTTTATATAAATAACTTATGTAAATACTTATTTCTGGAAATGAGTCTCTTAAACAAATCTTTATTGAAACATGTAAAATTATCATCTTCATAGTCTTCTAATTATTGTAATTATTCTTTAATTTAATTATTGAAATTCTCACACATTTATGAATCTATTCCTGAATTCTTTCTAGGATAATTGATTTTCTATATAGATCTACACAATTTAGATTTCTTCCATTTAAAATTAGTTAAATTTTAATTTAATCTTAAAAAAGATCGACATAATTTAGATATAGTATTATCTTTATCAGGATTAATTGCTACACTTTTATTTTTAATTCTTTATTTTAAGAATATTTATTATTTTGTTATTAAAACTAATGATTCTAAATGATTTAAAACATATTTAATTATTAAGAACTGAATCAACAATACTGAAAATAAAATTATTAAACTAAAATATATAGTTCCTAATAAAATGCTTTCATCAAACTTAGCTAAATTATCTAAAATTGCTTATTGATCCTTTATAAATTAATCATCTGTTTAATAACTAGTTATAACATATAAATACATAATAATATAAAATTAAGGATATTCCATTTTATAAACTGATACTTCATTAAATTCCATTGTTTTATGATTCTTTACTCTTAATGTACCTTTTCCTATATTATCATCATCTCCAAATTATTTCATCTTTTGCCAATCATATTTTGTGAATCCCGTTAAAGAAGTATTATAAATTACAGTAGGATATTTAAATTCTTCATAATAACTACTAACTAATAAATGACCTGTTGAATTAACAATTTCCATTTTTAATCTTTAATCTACAAAATAGGGAAGTAAATCAAAAGCCAAATCATATCCAATCACTCCTATCATTTCACCCTCTAAATTAGTCAAACTTACTGTAAATGCTATTGCTAATTTATTAATCCAATCCAAATATAAATCAGATAAATAGTATCTATGATTTTCATATTTAGTTCTATTCATATGATTTATATACCAAGGTCTTATATGAGCTACAAATTTAGTATAATCTCCTCCTTTAAATACAGTAAAGAATTATTCAAAACCTGTGCTAGTAAAAAATGTTTATCTATATAAATTCAATATTGGAAGAGTCTAAGTTATTAGAGATATTAATGAAAGGTATTATTAATAATCAGACTCATCTATCAACATAGTTTTATTACAAAATTTGTAGCATAAACTACAATTGAAAATATATTTATCCCATAGCTTTGGATTATCAATACAATTTGTAGGTTAAGTTATCTCAAAATTGTTTTATCTCTACAATTCAATAAAGTGATTTAATTTGTCAATATTGGATAAAGTCTAGTAACTAAAATTCAGAACTCTATTGAAAGATTAAGTTTATAGAGAATTATATCGAGACATTTAATTCGTTGTTTCTAACCTTTCCATTGATAAGGTACTTTTTGTTAATGAGTCCTTTGAAAAATTCAAGAAGATCACAAGCAAAGTAGTTGTTATCAAAATGCAAAAAGCAATATAAAGAACAGAGAATAGTGTAATTTATGATTTGATTGTCCAATTTTAACTGCAAAATAATCTATGTATTGGATTCCTTCTATGCATTTTCTAATTTTTAAAATAAATGTATAGTAATATATTAAATAATGATTTAAAGTATATATATAATCTAAATTTTAGAAGAACATTCATAGAAGTTTACAATAGTAAATTTAATTCTTAACTATAATTACTTTTTCTCCAATATTGAATAATCTATCTTTATAATCAAACTTGAATTCTCCATCCATATCAATTCTTTTACATTCCATACTTTCATTAATCTAATAAATTTCAAGTAGATTTTAATTTTTAGTTGTGACTAAAAAATAATTTTTGAATAATAGCACATCTAAAATTTGAGATTCAAATGTTATCATTTAAATGCATTTTAGAAATGTATTTTCAACATTATATAAATTAATCCTTAAATCATCCCCAATCGATAATAAAATTTTACCATATATTTTTGATTATTAGTATCTAAATTAATTAATTGAACCTTGATGAAATTATTTTGAAAATAATTCTTTAAAATTTGAATTAAATAATGATATTAATCCACTTATTGTTCCTAAAATAAGTAACATTTCTTAAACTCCAAATTTATTTATTACACAATACTCTAAAACCTTAATTTTATCCCAATATGAATGAAAATTAAGTGCTTAAGAAAATTAAGGCATAGATGGAGATGGAAAAACAGGAAAAAATTATAAAGAAACTCCTGAACTTACACAAATTTAATTCTAAATTATATTTAAATAAAATACTTCAAAGAATTTTAAAGCAACTCCTTTTGAAATATCTATAGTTATTTTAAAATGTCTAATTTATTTCATAGATATAAGATTAAATAGTAGTAAATCTAAACCAATCATTATTGCAATTAATAGTTTTTCTGGATCCACTGTATAATCAACAACAGATTAATTAAATTTTACTGAATGACTCATTTTCAAATTATCAATTCCAAAAAGGTGAATTTGATTTTATTAGGCATATATTAAAGTATCCTCAATAATAAATGATATAATTATACTTTATATATATTATGCAACTCTATTTTAGCCAATGCTGGTTATTTAACGATCTTTGATTTGGTTTATGGCATCAATGTAAATTATGATATTTATTTAAATGAAAATAAGGATTCTACAGTTTTTATCCAGGAATTAAGTTATTATCTAAAGTCTACATTTAATTTTTCAAGTTTTTATTAGATAAATTTAATTCTTTAACTTTACATTTAACATTTCTCTTAAACATCTTTGAAGAAACATTTTGGTCTCATAATTTTAATTTTATTTTTTAAATTGATATTCATACTTGTTCCAAATCCTTAAATATCATTATTACCATCTTTTAATTGTTTTTCACTGAAAGAATACTAAGGTTACACAATTTTTATTAATTGATTAATATTATTCAAATCTATCTATCTATTTAGTATATTTTTATAATTTTAAATTATTTCTTAATCAACTAATTCACCTACATTGACAGAATTTAAATGATCAATTAATTATTATGTCTGTTAAATAATATTTTACTAAAAATCGATTATTTCAGAAGTTAAAGTTTTGATAAATTCTTTTAAATTTAATTGTTGGTGACTTTGTTATTCCAATAATTCCAGATATACTCCATCTGCTAATTCTTTTAATATTTCTAACTCTTAATTCAATAATTATTCAATATGATACTTTATAAGCTTCAATAATAGATTATGAAGTAACTACTTTATGAGTTACATGATTTTGCAAATTATCTTAATTAGTTAAAACTCTAAAACAACCTTCTGATAAACAACACAACGATATTCCTATCATTTTTATAAATTAAAAAAAATAATATAAATTATTTAACTCAATAATTAAAACAATTGTATTTTAATAAACAAATGGTTCTTAAATTTCTAACTATTTAATATAATTAACAAACAACTATAAGTTATTATTGTCAATAAATCATATTATATTTATTTATAAAAGAATGTATTCCTAACAATATTTATATATTGTAAATCAAAATTATATAGAAATTCTAATAGTTCTCTATTTTGAATTGATTATTAAAAGTTAACATTCATATTTCTGTGGGTTCTTTTAGTTTTTATTAAATTATAATTAATTTTTAAGTTAATTATTATATTATTAATATTAATCTCTTAGTTTCTTCTATAGAATAGGATTAAAATAGATGATATTTATGAAATATTTCATAAATTTTCTTAATAAATGAATATAAAAATTCTTATATATATACAATTGATATTCATTCAACCCATATGATCTTTTCTTTTTCTCCCCTTAATACTCCTTGATCATATTTTAACATATGATTGTACTGATATTTAATAATAAATATACATTATTAATTATATAAGTACAAATTTTGTCTATTTTTTGTTTTTCACTTTGTTAACGTAGCAAAATATCTCTAAATGAAATAATGTTGTTACTCAAATACAATCTATTCTAAACTCTTCTTCTTAAATTAATAAATAAAATAATCATCTAACACAAATTATAAGACTTCTTAATTTCTTTCAAGTTCTTATCTCATTTCTTAATTATAATTATCCTATATATTATATTTATATTTACATCAAATTAATAAATATAATTAGAGGCAGATTTATATAAAATACTTTCAAGTTATTATTTAATAACATAATTTTTTAACAAATGTTATTATAATGCTTGTTAAACTAGCCAAATATGAACAATTAGAAAATTATATCTAATTAAAATTTAATCGCATTGAATTTCTAGAAATATATTAATAATATTTACTTGAATTGAATTGATTTCCAAAGATGTATGTTTCAATATCATTAAATATAAATTATCCTCTTGTATTTTTTAAATTAAATTTATTCTTTATCCATTATATAGGTGTTGAGTTAGTACTAGAAAAATTGAAGAGTTTAATTGCTAATCTATTCATATAAATGAAATTAAAATTTAATTATTAGATTAAAATTTATGATTATTTATGATTAACAATATAATATATTTGTATTTGTTTAATATTAAATAATTTAAAATGAGTTTGTAATAGATTCAACAACATATAAATCAAATAAAAACTAGCTATCAAATGCCAAATAAAGAATTTCAAAATACTTTCAAACTTTTTGAGAGTTGTGTTCCTTTTCTTAAATCAGAGAATTAAGAATAATTGAATTAAGTTTTTAGAGCTTTGAAGAGATTTCGAAGAAGATTAGAAAATGAATTAAAACTAAATTAGACTGACTATCATGCATTCATAAAAAAATGGAAATCCTTGAATATAACATTTGTTCCTCTAGTTTATGATGTAAAATTGGATTTCAGTAAAAAAATAGCAACTCTAAGTAATAACATATAGTTTATGAAGAATATGAGGATTTGATTAATTTTAATTTCAATCATCACCATTATACAAGTAGAGAAATGTTAAAGGCATCAATGATGATATTCTAACATTTGGAAGTAATATAATTTAATTAAAAATTGTAAGGTTGAACAATATGCAAATTACAATAATTTAGAGAATCTATTAACATAAATTAATCTAAATTACAACATTGTTTCTTATCATAACTTTACTCATGCATTTGCATTATTTTAAGTAATAATTACAATAATATTAGTTATTATTTTGTGTATATGAGAAATCTGATCTTAAACATTTTGTATCTAAATAAGACATATTTGCAGCTTTGATGGCTAGTTTAAGTCATGATCTAAATCATAGTAATATATGAATAAATAATATTAAAGAGGGAGTAAATAATTTATACAAAGTTAAAAAATCAAAAAAGTTAAATAAAAATATATGTGAACAAGCAGTTCTTGAGAGTATGCATGTTTCAACTTTATTCAATATCTTGGCTCAGAATCAATAACTAAATTTTTTAAATTAATTGCCAAATACATAATAACAAGAATTTAAGAGAATTTTAGTGAGCTCTATTTTAGCTACTGATATGGGATAACATTTCAATATCTTTGGTAGTTTTAAAGATAGAGTAAATGCAACTATTGATTTACGTGAAAATCAAAATATAATTGATCCATTGATTAAATTTAGAGGATTCAATAAAGAAAATTTTGATGATAGAAAAGTAATTATTAATATTTAAATTAGTTTATATTAAATGTATTGGTTCATGCTTGTGATATTTCAAATCCATGTTTGGAATGGGATGCTTATATGAAATGGTCCTTTTTGTTAGCTCAAGAATTTTAAGATTAAGTATTTAATATATTAAAAATAGACTATAAAAGAAGCAGCAAAAGGATTAGAAGTAACTGCAATGTTATAATATAAGGATAAAATCACATTCTTTAATGGCTAAACATTTTTCTTAAGTAATTTTTAATATATATATATAATTTTTAGATACATTTGTATTGCCACAATGGTAGACAATAGCAACATTGTATCCGAGTCTTATAGATTTACCTAATGAAGTCAAGAGAAATCTGGAAATTTTGGAAGAAGAGAAAAAAAAGTTATCCAATTGATTTTAGTGATATTAATAAATATCCAAAATAATATGAAGAAAGCAGTAAAGGAAGCTGAAAGAATATCTTCTAAAATATCATCTCCCATGATTGTTGATTTATTTGAATCTCAAGGATCTGGTATATTACCATATTTAAAGAGCACATTGAAAACTAGATTAGCATTAAATTAAACAGAATCTTGTTTTATTGGTAATAGAAGTATCAAAGTTATTTAGATTTTAAACGAAGTTAATTTCCTTTATTTGCGAAAGATAGATATTTTGAATTTTTAGAAGCTTATAATAGAAAGGATAAAGTAGATTTAATTAGATTATTGTCTGTGCCATTATATGATGTATTTGTAATATTTGAAATATTAGATTGTAAAAGCAAGTCTTAAAGATAATAAACCTTTGCCTTTTAAATTATATAAAGAAATGACTGATGCTTAATTAGTTTAGGCTAGATTATTTTCATAAAAGAAGATGGCATTATAATCATCATAAACATGGCATTAAATTACTGTTGAATTTAATTTTATTGATCCAGAAAGTAAGAAAGATGTTGTAAAATACAATGTTTTAGAAAGAAGAGAATCAGATAGTTCTGAAAAAGATTGGCGTATATGTAAATTAGATTGATTTAAAACCACACATATATTTTATGCTATTTGCAAAATAATATTATTTATATGCTAAAATAGTTGATAATTTATAAATAATATTTTATAGTTATATTTTATATGCTCAAAATTCCTTGTAAGTATCATCCAAATTCATATGTTGAAAGAATATGTGCAAGTTCATCTTGTAAAAGAGATCCTACATTATGTTGGGAATGTATGATTGATGAAGCTGATCATGCTAGAAATCATAGAGATGTTATGGTATTTTTGAATTTCAAATTTAGATTGATTTTGATAATTTCACCACCAGACTAGATGAAGAGTTCAGAAATGTGTTAGAGAAGAGAAAAAAAGATTAAGCATTAGCCATAGAAGGACATTTAAAATTATTACATACTAAATAAGAATTCATTGATAGATATGAATCATAGATCAATAACAGAAAATGTTGGGTTGATTATATTATAGCTGATACATCCAATTTGTTAACATAATTATTAGAAAAAGTAAAGTCTGAACTTTATGAACACTATGATGAAAGATTTCTTTAATATTAAAATTCGTTAAACTTTTTAGTTTAATCTATTCAACATAGATATGGTTTAGTTCCACTTCCAACAAAAGAAGAAATGTTAAATAAATTAGAAGAGTTATCCAAATAAAATAGAGAATGCAATACTTATGTGTCTGAATTGAAAATTAAATTATTGCCACCTGAAGACTTAGGCAAAAATCTAGCATTTATAGACACTTTTTAGGAATTTTAAATCTAAAATGAAATAGTTGAAGAATTAGAAAAATAATGGGCAGACACACCTTAAACTGATCCAGAAAATCCAACATTTTAATAAGAATAAAACTTTGTTGAAATAATGAATTCAATTAGATAATAATGTGAAGTACTTATGGATGAATTTAAAGTATAAATCAATTTGAAAGATTTAATATTATCAAGAAATACTCAATATTAAAATCCTGATGAATCTTTGAACAGTATTATTAATATATAATTCTATTCTAGTTCTAAGTGATGTCAAGAATTAAAATTCTGATCATAAATTAACAAAAACATAAAGATAATATGATAGTCCAAAACTATTTGAAACTGTTTAACCTAATTCACCTGTTTATAATGCTGGAATTGAAAATACTAATTCATAAGCCTTAAAATTCTAATCCAGTTAATAAAGTAGAATTTCAAGTTAATCACGCATCAAATTTTATAGAACTGTTGAAACAGCTTAAATGAGAGGTGTTACTAGTTTATTATAAGTTGATTAAAGAAATATAGCTTCTGGTAGTAGAGATAAAACAATAAGAATTAATAATTTAGAAGTTCCTTAATAAAGTTATACTTTAGAAGGTCATGTTGATTAAGTTACAGCTCTTTGTATGTTCTAAGAAAAATTATTGATTTCAGGAGGAGGAAACCTTGATTCTTCAATAATTATTTGGTCTTTGTCAACTAGAAAGTAGATTAATAAATTAACAGGACATTAATCTGGAATAACTTCATTAATTGAATTATCCGATAACCATAGCATTTTGAGTGGTAGTTATGATAATTTGGCTATCATTTGGAATGTCACTTCAGGTAAGTCTCTTTGTGCATTGAAAAAACATACAGCTATGGTATCATGTTTACAACTTGTCAAAAGAGATATTGTTGTAACTGGTTCATGGGATAGAACTTTAGCTATTTGGTAATTATATTTTGAAGGAGAAGAAATAGTTTCTGCTTCTTACTTAAGAGACATTAAAACTGAGGGAGCTGTGTTATGTGTGAAAAAGTATTCTGAAAGAAGTATCATTTTTGGAGGAACTTCTAATAAAGTTTCAGTAGTGGATTGGATGAATGGAGAGATCAAATTAAAGTTAAATACTTCTTAATTTGGTATTTGTGATATCATTTGTTCTGATTATCTATTGGGATTAGGTGCAAGTGATTCTACTATTAGATTATGGGTTAACAATTAAGAAATAGAAGTGTATAGAGATCATAAAATTATTATAAATAATTATAATACCAATCCAAAAATGATCTAAGTTGGCAAGAATCATATTGCTGTTATTAATAATAAAGATGAATAGCCTCATTTCAATATATTTATTATTGAATGAATATATATTTAAATAATTTATATTGTTTAAAATAAAAAAAATATGCCTTTGGTGGGGGTCGATCCCACGACCTCGAGATTATGAGACTCGCGCTCTAACCAACTGAGCTACAAGGGCATCTCTATTTAAAAGGATCAACCTTCAATATTTATAAGTAGATTCATATACAGATTTATATGAATAAATTTTTAACGAATTATAAATAATTCAAATTTTAAATCTAAATGAGATCCTTTTAAGTTAGCAAAGACTCGTCATTCAGGTATCATTTTATTCTCATTTTAGGATCTTATGTCCCTCTAACAAAATAGAAATGGAGGAAGAGACAGTAGAAACTAATATTTAGTTATAAGTTAAGAATATCTATAGACCAATTAAAATTATTCTTCCACCTCCAAATCTCCCTAAAATTATTACAAGCACTAAGTAAATTTATTTTCTAAATTAGATCTTGTAATTGCAAAAAATCTTAATGTTTAAAACAGTATTGTGATTGCTTTGCTAACGGATAGGTATGCTCTGAAAATTGCAATTGTGTTGGATGTTTTAATAATTCTCTCAATAATTCTTAAAGAAAAGAAGCAAAATTATAAATAAAAGCAAGAGATCCAGGGGCATTCAAATAAGCCTTTAAAGGATGCAATTGCAAAAAATCAGGATGCTAAAAAAAATATTGTGAATGCTTTCAAAATAATTTATAATGTACACATTAATGTAGATGTGAAGGATGTGTCAATTGCTTAAAATGAGTGTTTTAATTAAATTAATATTACTTAAGCTGTTTTAACTGCATAATTATAATCCTATTCAATTTAATCATTAATAAATTATCTAGAGTTGATAAAAAAATCTAATAATTACCATTCTAATAAATCACTTTATTTTACTTATTTGTCTCTTTAATTGATTTTTATATGTTAAATTCTTTTGCAAAATGTAACATTTTGTTTAAGAAAATTGAAAAATTCTTTAAACTTCGATTTTTTCAATTTGAGTCTCTAATTATCTAATAGAATTTAGCATAAATTGATCTCTTCTAATATGAATTAGAGAATTTATTAAATATTATACTTTCAATTTATCTAATTTTCTCGTTAGGTTATTATCTTTTACTAACTTAATTATTTTTCGGAATTTCATTAATTAAACATATACTCAAAATCTATCTTTGCATTTGATAATTTTTTCAATATCTGAACTGTAAGTTTTATTATCGGATTCTGATGGAAATTGTAAAATAAGCTCTTTTATTGTTGAAAAATCCTTTTCATTAATAAATAAATCTAAAAAGTCAACAGGTTTTGAAATGTCTAGTGAAAGATGATTTATACTAATTTTCAATACAATAAATTATAAATAATTCTATGAGTAAAACAACTTTCTTATATTTCAATTCATCTATTAAATCCTTAATAATATTTTCATAGAATTTTGAAACATTTTATTGAATAATATTTAACAAATCTTTGCTGTATCTTTCATAAAATAAACTATAAACTTTAAATTAATTTTAGACATCAATCTCATCACATATTATTTTCTCTTTTTTTTGGATATTCAATTTTAGAATAATTTAGAATTTAATACAATCAAATTCTTTTTATTACTATATTTATTGGTTATTAAAAATAGAATTATAGTAATTATATAATTTGAAATAAAATCCCATTCTTAAATCAAATAATAATAGCCAAACCTAAATAATTATTTTATAATAATTAAAAATTTTAATTGATATCCTTTTTTATTTTTCTTGTCAATAATACTAATGGTTGTAATTAAAAAATGCTTAATTTAATTTAAAATACTACATAAAACAATAATAAAAAATCAAATATAATGATTGCTGGATGTAATACTTGAAAATCGTTGTTAAAGTATGCAACTTATAGTTTTGAAGAGAGGAGACGAACTTAACTATGATTAAAAGGTTCGTGATTTTATTCTATTTTGGGCATTAGGTAATATCATTTTTTTTAAACCATTTAAACTTTTCATTTATGTTTAAGTTGAACTTAAAGGACTATCACAAGATAATTTGTCTATATATTCTTCAGGGAATTGTGTTTTTATCATTAACTTTTTTGGTAATTTAGGATAATTAATTGCTTATTATTATTATTATTATTATTATTATTATTATTATTATTATTATTATTATTATTATTATTATTATTATTATTATTATTATTATTATTATTATTATTATTATTATTATTATTATTATTATTAGTGCATTTGAGAGTCTATTTCCTATGATACAAAGTTATAACATCGATGAGTTTTAAGAAAGAGCTCAGATTGAGTATGAGTTGCAACTTCATATGATACTTTTATGGGTTGTTTTCTTAATTTTTATGATTAAAGATCCATTTATAATTTGATTTGATTCATTCTCTATTTCTATTTATTTTAATATGACAAGAGATTACGTTTAGCAATGGTCATAGGTTAAGATGTTTGTATTTGTTCTTCAGAAATATCTGTTTTAATTCTTTTACTAAAATATTGTGGATAAATATTTGCTGTTTTGACTTCTGTTTCACTCCTTAAATTAGCTAATTATTATAGTTCAATTCTATGAAGTTTAAGATCATCACCTTATTACTCAAACATTCTTTCTACTAAGGATGTTCTATTAATTTTGTAAGCATAACCCTTAGATGTATTACATACAAGAGAATATTCATATGGTAAGTTAATGTTGAGATGATAGAAACCAAATACTTATAATTCTCCAATTTCAAAGAGCTTGATTATTTATTAAGTTTATTTACATTAACATTTATTTAATTAGGTTTCATTATTTTTTTAACAAGAAAACTTCCAGATTTGATTAATATAAAATAATCTGCTTTTTATCCTTCTTTAATAACTATTTAATTTTTTTCAAATTCATATAGAAAAGAATTTAAATAGATATGTTTTAATTAAGTTCTATGTAAATGTGAAAATATTCTGATTTATGAAAAATAATCAATATTCTTAAAATAATAAAGTGATTTACTTGATCCAATTATTTTTATTATTCTTCTTATAAAATATGTTTAAATTAGTGTTTATCTAAGACAGCAAAAATGCAATCAGTATTACATTAAATAGTAGCAAGTCTTGGTTATTTATGTAATAGGGCTAATTCACCAAAGGATTCACCTTTATTAAGAACTCTTACAGCCTCCATTTCTGATTAATTTGTTTTTCTGACTAATACAGTAACAGATCCTTCCAGTATGATGTAAAATTTGGTACCAACACTGTCTATGAAAATGTAATGGTAATAAGAGTACCAACAAAGAAAACAATATCATTTGATTTGAATTTTTCACAATACATATTTTTGCAACATTTTCTTTGAATTTATAAACCATTTTCTTATTTCATGTATTATTTAAAAAATGGAAGCTACGATGTTAATTACACTAATAAATTGATTTCAGCATTGCTTCTGTGTTAGGGACTCTTTTTTAAAAGAAACTCAAGTTCTTCTATTTATTTTTACATTTTTAATTAAATGTTAATAACAATAAAATTAGACATATCATCAGTAATTTACCAATTTTAGTAATTCAATACTAAGAATCTATTAAATTAGTTTAAAACATAGTGTAAAATACATGCAGTTTCTTTATAATTGAGTTTAAGATTTCTTATATAATTATTAATTAATGTATCATATTGTTAAGGTTTTTGTATTCTAATTTTTAAATAAAATGAAATTCGTTTTATTGTTATTGTATACGATTTCTTTTTAAGGTATACTTAGTGAAACAGTTGATGAGAAGAACAAATGCGAATGTAGCAAGATATAAACAATTGAAGAGTGTAATATAAATTGTGAATGGAATAAAGTAGCAGGAGAATGTTAAAAGCAAACTCTTCCGTTAATAAGAACAAGTTATTGTTCCTATTAGAAAGATAAATGTAATAAAACTATTGGTTGTGCTAATTATAATGGTATTTGTGTTCCCTTTACTGGATGTACAGCAATCAAATAAAATACAAATTAAGAATGTTAACAATATTCAGAAATTTGTATAACAGATGGTTCAAAATGTGTAGAAAAAAGTGTTTGTGCAGATTATAAGACGAGATTCTCATGTCGTAATAATTACATTAATTATGAATGGCAAGGATTTTGTTTTTGGGACAAAAAGGAATGTAGAAATGCATAAGCTTGTAATGAGTTATCATTTAGTTTGAAAAACGATGCAGAATGTAGAAAATAATTAAGTTGGTGTACATTCAAATTAGGAGGAGGTTGTGAAGATTCAGGAGAATTATGCAAAGATTAAAAAATTTAGCAATAATGTATAACTAATAAGAAGGGTGATGTAAAGTGTCATTGGGATGGTTAAGCTTGTAATGATTACACATGTGGAAATATAACAAAAGATTGTATAAAGAATGGATGTTCTATAGACAAGGATTCAAAATGTATTGATAGATTAGATTGTGATAAATACACCACTTAATAATCGTGTACTTATAATAAATAAAATATTTAATGTATGTGGGAAAATAATACTTGTAAAATTAAATCATGTGAAAATGCTAGTACAACAAGATAAACTAATTAATAATGTTAAGAGATAAATTCAAATTGTATTACTTAATTTGGAGGGGGATGTAGGAATAATGGAGAATGTGATTAAGCAAATAACAAAGCAGGATGTTCATAAAATATTAGAGGTGAAACTTGTTATTGGAATGGATATTAATGTGTATTAAAATAATGTTAATGGGCACCTGCTAGCTTTAAGAGTGTTACATTATGTAAAAATTTCTAATCTAATTGTGTTTATAATGGTAGTATATGCATTGAAGATGGATGTTATGCATAATTAACTCAATCAACATGTTCAGCTACTGGATAATGTTAATGGTAAGGTAAATGTGACATAAAAACTTGTGAGACTGCTGGAAGAGATACCAAATATACTTCTCATGAAGAATGTTAGAATTATCTGTCTACTTGCACTTTGAATGATTAGGGAATTGGATGCATGATGATCAAATATTCATGTAATCAATATATTAAATAGATTCAATGTTATTAATCTATTTAAAGTAAATGTTCTTGGTATAATAATTAGTGTTTAGAAAGTAAGTGTGAATATTTAAATTATAATACACATTACTAATGTTATAATTATCTAAATAACTGTACTACTGATGGAACCAAATGTATATAACTTTAATCATTATGCAATTCATACACTTCAGAAAAGTCATGTAATATTAATTTAAAAAAATAACCTTGTATTTGGTAGGATAATCAATGTATAGAAGTTGCATGTGATCTTATTCCAAAAATTGAAAATTATAATACTCATTAAAAGTGTAATTCATATTAATCATAATGTACTGTTTTAAAATAAATTACTGGATGTATTGTGATGCCAGTTGAATGTAAATTATTAAATTAAAATTAATGTTTTGCAAATAAATGTATTTATACAGATGGAATATGTCGTGAAAAATAATGTTCAGATTACAAAGGGGATATTACAGAATCTAATTGTGAAGCTTTTAATGAAGGTAAAAAGTGTATGAGAGGTCCATTTTTGATTCCTAATAGTTGTGTTGATAGAGTAGAGGAGTGTTAGAATATTACAAATGAATATTAATGCAATGGTGGAAAAGATAAAAATAATAATAAATGTAGATGGTTGTTTTCATATTGCATAAAATGGGATTAAAATATAATTAAAAAGGTAGATGATAAATGTACAAATCCATCAACATCTCTTGATGACAACTTTTGCATTCTTAATAAGACATGTGGTGATACAGGTATATCAACAGTTGAGTATACAGATGAGATATGTGAAAATTATCTTATGTCTTGCAAGAAGAACACAGCTAGCACTTGTGTAACTAAAACAACACTTAATACATATGAATGTGTCTATTATGTTAGCAAAATAAATTGTGTTACATAAAGTAATTGTTATTGGTCAATTACTAATACTTGTATTTAATTAAAAGATGAATGTAGTAATTTGGCCGATAGAGATGATTGTGAAGGTAATAAGGATTTATCAGGGACATTTTGTAAATGGAATACTGTAAATTCTGCTTGTTAAAATATTTGTTAAACTCTTGATCCAGTTGGTTCCAAATGTTCAACTTTGGATTCAAAATGTGTACTTAATAATACCATAACTGATAAGTGTATAAAAAAGAGATCAAATTGTTCTGATTATGTTAATTCATAATAATGTTTAGATGATGATAGATGTATAGAGAATTCAGCTAATTAATGTGTAGAAAAATAATGTACTGATTTGACAGATAATTTAACACATTAATAATGTAATTCTTATAAATCAGGATGTACTGTAGCTTATCCTGGAGGTTGTTCAACATTATTACCTAATTGTTCGGATTATAAAATTTAAGGATAATGTAATCTGAATGATAAATCTAAAATATGTTATTGGTTTGAATCTAAAGGATGTTATGAAAAGAAGTGTTCAGAGATTACTTATGATCCATTAAAACCAAAAACTTAATGTTTAACATTTTTTAGTGATTTAATTTGTAATATTAATGATTTAGGGAATGCATGTGAAGACTTAAGAGATTCTTGTGATAAATATAAAAATGAAAACTAATGTTAAAAATAGTTGGATGGTTATGAGTGTATGTGGAAAGATGATAAATGTATCTTAGCAGATTGTTAAAAAATAATACTCAGTAATTATTCACATACTGATTGTAATTCATAATATAGCTAATTAAAATGTACAGTAAATGGAACAAATAATGGATGTATTGATTTATATACAAATTGTAAAAAATATACTACACAAGATTAATGTAAAAAAACAATATTCAATGAAGATTGTGTTTGGAATTAACTTTATTAATAATGCAATTTCAAAACTTGTAAAGATGAAATACCTCAAAGTTAAAAATGCTCTGATTATCTTTCTACTTGTATTGAACCATAATATAAATGTAGAAACTTTATTTGTTAAGATTATCATTTTGATAATGATGATGAATGTAAGACATAGAATCCTAAATGTACATCAAATGGTAGATATTGTATATAAAGAGGAACATGTGATTAAAATTAATATTAATAAGCTTGCAATATTGATATTAATAATAGATATTGTGGTTGGAATTCTGTTAAGAAATAATGCAGTTATTTATAATGTTAAGAGGCACCAGTTGAATTGATTTATAATTAAGATTGTGAAAGGTATTTTCCAAATTAGAATTGTATAACTAAATTAGGTGGTGGATGTCTCATTGCACGTAGTTGTCTTGATTACACAACTTAAATTTAGTGTGATGTAAGTAAAATTTTTGATTGTATTTGGGAAAATGAAATGTGTAGATCTAAAGTATGTAAAGATTACAAAAGTGGAAATCTATTAAATTGTTTATCTAAATAATAAAATTGTACTACTGATGGTTAAACTTGTGTTGATATTAAGAATTGTTCAAAATTATCATAATAGAATTGCAATATAGGAATAGAAGGAAATTGTTTATATTTGAATGGTCGTTGTTAACCTTATAAAAATTGTTAATCAATTAATTTCACTACTCATTAAGAATGTTATAATGGTTTATAAAATCAATGTACAACAGATGGAACAAAATGTATACCTATAACAACATGTGATGAATACAACAATTAAATATCATGTATAAAGGGAATAGAAGGGGATTGTGCTTGGGATAAATCTAAATGTTCAAAGTTTACATCTTGTGATAATTATTATTATAAAACTCATTAGGAATGTTATTCAATTAATTAAAGTTGTACAACTGATACAGTTAGTTAGTGTATTAAATTATTGGAATGTACAAATTATCCATTTTTAGAGAATTGTAAATTAGATAAGAATGGAATAATTAAAGAAAATAATTTAGTAATTTAATCAAATAAATGTGTATGGAAAGATAATTAATGTAATCATATTACATGTGTAGATTTATATGGAATTGATCATTCAACATGTTATTAATAATTATCAACTTGTACTTCAGATGGTGTCAAGTGTATAATTATGGAAAATACTTGTTCATATTATTCAAGTAATGTATGTGATACAGCATACAGTAAATAAGGAAAATGTAATTTTGTGAATTCAACATGTTCCTTATTTGATTGTTCAATTATAACTATAGAGAATTAATGTAAAGCTTTAAGTCATTGTCTATTCATTAATAAACTTTGTCAATTTTATCATAAATGTCAAGAATACATTACAGAAAAAGATTGTACTAAAGGTATTGATGGATAGTGTGTATATAAGAATTCTAAATGTCAATTAATGAGTAATTGCAATGATACTAATTAATAACAATTATGTAATTCTAAAAGTTGTTATTGGAATTCTACATCTACTACTTGTCAATCTCATACATGTTAAACTTATGGACTTTAGAATCCTTGTGGTTATTTTTATAATTACTAAATGACTTAAATTACATTTTGTGCTTTCAATAATTAAGATAGTTTATGCAAAGAAATCAGTCCAATCACTTTTAATAGTTCTGATTGTTACACAAAATCTCTTGGTTATTTCTCTAATAGAAATGATACTTGTTAATCTTGTGTTTATAAACCTTAACCTAATATTACGACACCAATTAATAATAGCACAGATAATGATATCGATAAAGATGTAGGTGGATCTATAGTTTATGTCATATTAATCGGATTATTAATTATCATTTGAAAATACATTCATCATCTATTATTATATTATTAATATTTATGTTTAAACATGCTGGCACTTCTGAAAATAAAGCTCTTATCGAAGTCAATATCCATCAACTTAATATCAATATAACTGTTCCTAATTGTGAAGTTATGATTGTGTTTCAAAGAGGAGATAGAAAAGCTCAAACATAACCAATTCAATTACTAAACAAATGTGCCAAAATTGATCAAATCCTAAGAGTCCCAGCTACTCTATATTATGATGTCAAATAAAAAGAGTATCAAAAGAAAATGGGTACCTTAATTGTCCTCATCAAATATGAAAAAGGTATGAAGAATGCAGGTCAAATTGATATTGATTTCTCCTCATATCTAAATTAAAAAAAGGGAAAGATTGATGAGATCTCTCCTTTATCTAAATGTCCTGATCCCAATGCAACACTTTCATATACAATCAATTTCTTGAGTTAAGATCAAAGATCTAAAACTCCAGAAGCTAACATTAATAATAGTATTCAAATCATTAAAAACAGTTAGGGAAGATCAATCCAAAGCTTAAATTACATAATTAGACTAGCAAAATAAGTAAATGAAAGAAGACAATATTCGATTATAAGAAGAAGTTGAACATTTAAGAACTTAAAATAAATAATAATAGATCTACATACAATAATTATTAAATTAAACAAAATAATTCTAAGAAACATAACTCAATTAAAATTAATCTAAATCCAATTCAGAAACTTCAACAACATAACCTGAAGATTGTCAGAAATGCTTACAATTTTAATTAGAATTAGGTAATATAATATATTTATATTATAGAATAATTAAAAAAATAAAAAAAAACAAAACCACTTAATTGTGATAAATGTATAAATTTAGAATAGTAAATTGAATAAATAAAAAAGTAATACTCTTAAGGATAAAAGTAAGAAAATAATGATTAAAAATTTGAATTATTAAATTAAGCTAACACTGATTTAAAAGAATAATTATATGAACTTGAATAATAAGCAGCTAGAATTAGAAAGGAAAATTAAGATCTTAAAAATAAATTAACTATTTAAAATCAATAATTAATTGATTGCAGAGAAAGAATCTAAGAACTTGAAAATGATGATGAAAGTGATAAACGTATATTAGAATACCAAAAATTAATTGAAAAATCAAATGATGATCTTCTAGATATCTAATAAAAATTATTTTCTTTTTAAACTGAATGCGATTAATTATAAAGAGAAAAGAATGAATATGAGTAATAATTAGAGATTTTATCTAAAAAATATGATACATTAGGTATCTATCTTATTAATTACATAGAATTATAATTATTTTAATAAAAATAAAGATTTGCTAATGCTATGCATACTTTCCTTAGTTTAGGGGATACAAATGCAATTGAAGTACTTGAAAAATTTAGTGGTGATTGAATGTTATTTAAATTTATATTTGAATACATTTATATTATTCTAAAGTATTGTTAAACCTATCTTGTTGATAATTGTGTTCATTTTTTGTTAATATCTTTTTAATAATATTGAAAAAATGTCATATAATTATCAAAAAGCATTCATCTACATAATTCTTAATTTTACTTTTAAATACAGAATTATTAATAAGAATAATAATAATTTATAGAACTATTTCTTCTTTAACTTTGTTCTTGCTAATATTTTTAATATATATTAATTATGAATAAAATAAAAGATTATAATTTTATTAAAATACTCATTCAAATAGAAGATTCTTTAAAAATTATTACATTTGATTAATAAACTAAAATATTGAGTCCATTTTTAGTGTATTATTTAATTTACTATCAAAAGTGGAATAATTCAATTCAATATTTTTATCATATTATTTTATTTTCTAAATTTAAGAATGTTCTCACTGTTAATTACGTCAATTAATCTAGCCTTATTCAATCGTAAATTTAATTATGTTTTTTTTTAATTAATGAACAGCTAATTTTATAATAAATATTTTAAATCTCCCTATTTTGATGTGCATGATTATTTGTTCTTAGTTTAAATAGATGAAGATGAAAACTTAGATAATAATACTTGATATGATGATCTTGTTAATAGTTTTAAGTGTTTGTACTTTAGGAATCTATGTCGAAGCCATAATATTTTATGATATCAGTTTAGAATCATCAAATATGATGATGAATATTACGGATATCAAATAGATTGATAGTATTGGAAATCATGTTGAATCCTATCTAATAAAAAAGCATAAAAGAAGTAAATAATAAATAAATTAAGGCATTTAACTTATTGACAATATTGCTTCTTTTATACTTTATTTAGCTAACCATCAAAATCAGTTCATCATAAATGATAACTTAAATCTATGTCTAACTGAAGATGACTATTAAAATACTTAATATATTAAAAATACTGCATAGTTCTGTTATTAAATCCATAGTGAGTAATATTAATAAATCATGTTGAATGATAATATCAATCTTTTATATTATGGACTTAAAGAACTAGATTAATATTCATTACAGTTCAATATATAATTGCCTAATTTTTTGTAGATAGTTGACACTAGTCCAATAATATTTGATTCATTATATCCAACAGGATTACTAGTAAATAATTATAATCCATAGGATAGAATATGGTATATTTAAAAAATATATATAGGTATAAAAATCATATGGATTAATTTAACATTACAAAAAATGAGCATTTCTTTTTTACAAATGTTTATTAAATCTTGTATGGAGCTAAGGAGTATAGTTTTTCAATAACTCAATCATTATTTAATAAATAAAAAGAGTTTTTTGCAATATTGAAAACAGTAGTATTTGTAACTGACCCAAATTTATAGAAAATATAATTTAATGTCTTATTAATTAATTCAGAAGGTTAGGTTATGCATTATGGAATGGAAAATTAAATAAATAATGTGGGAATTTTATATATATATAATGAAAAGATAACTGGTTTCAATATTACAGATTGGTAAGAAATTGAAACGAAGGTAAATAAGTAAGATTAGAATCATTAAGATTAAATATTAATTCTCTATAATAAAGTATATTAATAATTTGTAAATGTAAAGTGCAAAAAGTTTATAAAAGAAAATTTTACACTAATTTTGTAAATATATTTAATTATTAATAGATTCACAAATCTTACATAATAATATATTTTATAATAAAAAATATTGGATGAATAAAATAGATTTTTATTGTAATATGGATTTGCTGTTATTATAATTTTTGGTTTAGCAATTATGTTATTCTGTTTGAGTGTATTCTTTATAAATCTAATTTGTAATCCAATAGTAAATTTAAGATAAAAAATATCCTAACATGTTTTATAAATAGGAAATAATGTTGATAAAATTATGAATAAGATTTAATCAAGCAAAAAAAATAATAATGATGTTATTAATAAATTGAATGAAATGTTCATGAATATTTCAGATACTCTTAAATTAAACTCAAATAAAAAGAATAAGTAATGTAGACTTATTGAAAAGATGTAGTATAATAAAAGAAATTTTTAAGTTTCATGTTAGATATTACATTAATAAATACGTTGTCTTTCAGATATGAATTTAAGTAATGTTGATTTCAACGAATTTAATTAAGAAATATTAGATTTGTTAATGAAATGCACTAATAGTCAATTGTGATATATTAATATAACTTATAAATATAAAAAAAAAAAGAGAGAGAGATTTAGTATTTTTATAAAATACAATTAACTATATTATTTAATGATTACTATACTTTACATGATTCACTTAATATTAATAATTCTTTAAAGGTTTGATATTAACATATTAGATTTTGGTTGTAAATCTCTTAATTATTTTAATAACTAATATTAATAAATCTATTTACTTATGTGTTTTGTGCATTAATATCTTATTTTTAAACAATTATCTTATCCCCATCTATTTTAGCATTAATATTCAATGTTCTAATTGCATTTACCAACCATGATTCAGTTTCTTCTTCATTTAATTATAAATAAGTTGAAAATTGTCTAATATATTTTAGATTAAATTTTACTTTATTTAAACTCCATTAAATATTTTGATATAAGTTGAAAAGAAATAAAGTTTGCATGCATTAATAATGATGACTTTTTTAGATTTGACTATAAAGTCTTTATCAATTTCTGTTGAAATATCATTCATCATTTTTATAGCATTATTGAATTGAAATTTAACAATAATTTCTTCAACATAATTTAATAAATGAAAATGTGGAACTGATTTATTAGCATTTGTACCAATTATGGCAAGACTTGTATTACCATTAAATTATTAATTAATCAATAAAGCCACTGTATAATAATATAATAAATAAGGTGCAATTGTGTGAACTACTTCTAAGAATTGTTCACCTGAAAATAGTTCTAAAAATGCATTTGTATCATCAGATATAAAACAAACTAAAACTCCAGCATGTAATAGATTTGCTCTTTATTTGAAATTATATTTTATTTAATCTTCTTATTTTAATAAATCCTTAATTGCTTCAATACATGTTGTAGCATTATTTGTGTTCTTAAACAATCCAATTAATTTACAATTCTAAATTGATATATGCAATTATTTACTAATCTAGCCCATAAAAATCCATTTTTTAAATGATTTAACTTCTCAGTTGCTTCAACACATGGATATAAATTATCAACAATTTCTGTAGCTTTCTCATATTGTCCTTAATCAAATAATATTATTAATGCTTAATAAGCTTCTTCCACTGTCCATAAATTTTCTTAGACATAATCTATAAGTGCTCTTTATCTTAGTTTAAGCAATTCTGCAACTGAAGCAAGTTTGCCATTTAAATTGTCTTGTTGCATGATTTAATCAATTTTTTCTTAAGACACACCTATTTTTATTAACCTTTCAAAAAGTCTTGTGCCAAGAAGAGCCTCGTTTTCTTTAGATGTTTGTAATTGCAAGAACTGCACACATCCCAAAAAGACATGGGGATTAATGAATCTTAAGAAATGGTCCATATATTAAATCAAATAAAATATTTTGGGACTGAATATATTCCAAAGTTGTGTTTTGGATTCACTTTTTTTTGAATGTGATGTAATGGCTTCTCTTTATATATTTAATAAGTAGCTCCACGCAAATCATGTAATTCTGCCATTGCTTTCTTCTTTTCTTTTGGTGTTAATTTCTAAAATTCTTCAAATTTTACCATTATATATTTTTATTAATGAGTAATTAGGACAGTGAACCAGAAATCGATAACTCAGATTTAGAAGGAAATTCAAGAAGCTAATCATCTTTTGGCGATGCAATAGAAGACTAAGAGGATGAATTAGGTTCCTCTGAATCTGGAGGTAATTAAATCATTTTAAATAAACTCTTAGAATAAAAATCTGTGACTTCAGATTCAAGTGAAGATGAAGAATAAAATGAAATAATAAGGACAGGGGCTATGATATAATAGAGCAAAGGGAGGAAAATAAATAAGAATGAAAGAATTACTCCTCCATTTATAACAAAATATGAGCTTGCCAGAGTTATTGGAACAAGAGCCTTGTAAATAAGCAAAAACAGTCCTATTTATGTGGATCCAAGTATTTTAATATGAATATCTTATATAGAGGATTCAATAGACCCAATAACCATAGCTGAATAAGAATTTAATGAGAATAAAATTCCATTCATTATTAGAAGGTATTTACCAAATGGAAACTTTGAAGATTGGGAACTTTAAGAATTAGAACGCTTGGACTGACTTATTTTATTGATAGTAACTTAATTGGAGTAGCTTAGAATTTCAATTATTAATGTTCTAAAAAAATCTAAGTGACAAACGTAATTTTATCAAAAAAAATTTATTTTAACTATGACCATTTCTTTTTTATTTAGGTATTTAACCATATTCAGAATCAATAAAAACATAATTAAAATTTGGAGTATTGGTTGAATAATAAATTAATATATGTATCAAAACAATAAAAGTAAAGGAATCAAAATTTAGTGTATTCTCTTAAATCATTAAGAATTACATTTAATTATGTATAGAAAAATGAAAATAAAAAAGAGTATAGGAAATAAAATTAGTATAAGAATATAATATAATCAAAATCATATAAGTTATTGAGAATGTCCAAGAAAAAAATAATAAAATTAGGGTAAAATTTAGAAAAATATAGTCCATCTATAAAATTATAGGAAATCAAGATATGATGTTAGATAAGGAGAAATTAGAAAGTTTAAAAAATCAAAGGAAAAGTTTAATACATTTATATATTCAAGCTAGAAATCTAGGTGGCAATACTTCACATTATTAATTGATCCTTGGACTATAGTAATAGGATCATCCTATGTAAGATACAAACTCATTAAATGAGATATATTGTAATTTGATCCTTCTACCAAATAGATATTATAATGATTAGAAAAAGAATGCCAATTAATTCTATATATATATATATTTAGAATAAGAAAAGCAGCAAAAGAATTTTTAAAGATAAACCTATGAACATATGATTACATTCCTAATTAAAATTATATAGATTAATAAATGATAGATAATGATTAAAATTATTCAATAATTTACTTAAAATTATAATTAAAATAAATAATTTAATCTTAGTTTCTTTATTAAGTGATTCAATATTGATAGAGACATTTGAATTTATATATTTTTTTAATCTTTTTAATATATAAATTAAATAAAGCAAATTATAAAGAAAATGATTTCAATTAGGTTTATATTCTTACTGTAAGAATAATAAATCAATAAGAATAAAAATATATTAATTATAAGAAAAATTAATTTCAATTTTTTTTAGTAGGAGTTAGAAAGGATTTAGGTCTATTGTGTTATGGTTATTTTGTTAATGGACTTTTACTTGATTATTTAGATAATATTTATGTAATTTCTATTTTTTACTCAATAGAAGGATCTTAATTCAATATGTTAATTTTAAATACCTTCAATTACTGCAATATCTCTCAATCTAAAAATTCCAACTAAATTCTCATATAAACATTCTATTAATTAAGTCTTCTTGTCTATCTTTTAGACTATCACTTTATAACCAGGCTTAAGAATAAAATTATCACCTGTTATTGGTTTACAATTATTGATAGCTGTACCATAGATAAATGGATTTTATTTAGTATCTTTAGAGAAGGTTTTCTGAGAATTAATATAATTTGTAAGTAAGTGAGCAGGTTTATTTCTACCAGAATTCATTTAAGATGATATTTATGAATCTAATTTAGGTTTAGATTTACAATCATCCAATATATTAAATTACATATTTTTTTATGAGTGATTTGTAGGTGTTAATGATTTTTATGTATGAGGAGGTGATTTATTTTATTAATTATTAATATTACTAGTTTATCTGGATCTTTAATTATTACTTACTGGAATTATTTTATCCACTTAACAAGTAGATAAATGTCTACTTACTTAACAAGAAGCATCTGTTATTGATTCTTTCTCTGATATTTTAGTTAACAATTAAGGTGGTTATTATGATGATTAATATATATCAGTAGATTCTCTCTTAGAATTCTCAGTTTAAGATTGAGTAGCTAAAACTTCAGTCAAGGTATCTTCTTATTTCATCAAAGGTGAAGATCGTAATATACTTTCTGAATGCATTTTTTAAAATGAATCATTACCAAAAGAACATTTAAAATTTTATAATCTTTAAATTCTTAAATGTTATTATTTTCTTAATGCACTTTCTATATTAATTAATATAATATAAATACCATCCAATTAAAAATTATCTATTTCTTCTTCATCTATATTTTCCTTTATATCTTTAAATGATTTAATTTATAAATCTAATTTAGGTGTTTAATCATCATTATCTAAATCCTATTATCTATCTTATTCTTATGAATTCTTTCTCTCTAACTCAAAAATCATATCTGTTTTTTATATTTTCTCTTCCAACATTTAATTTTAATTATTTGTTAAATCATTATCTATATCAACCTTCTAAATTACTATTTCCCAATTATCCTATTATTTTGTTTCTTATTTATCTTCAATTATTATTTATTATTATTGCAAAAAAGCACTAGATTTTTTATTTTATTCATTAATCAATTATTTATCTATTTTAAATACATTATTTAATTTTCTCATTGCTATACTAGTATTACCTAAAATTTTAAAATCATCTGCCTTTTAAATTGACTATTCATATATATGTGAAAATAAAAGCAATATACTAAATAAAATTATATTAAATATATTACCCTTTTTAAAAAAACAAATTGACTCTCTCTTTTAATAATTACATATCAACTACTTAAGAACTCTATATTTATTATTCATCTGTCTAATTCTTTTCCATAAACTTAAATTGTTTACTTGAAACTGTAAATTTTGATTGTCTATTAGATCGTCTACTATTTCTTTAGATTATTGATTCCTTATTGTTTTTTTATGTTTTCTCTATCTAAATTCCTCTTATTGATTTATTATTCTTATTATATTATTATAATATATACTTCAATTCTTATATCATATTTAAATTGTGCATCATACTATTCATATTAGTTTGATAAGGGAAAACAAATTTTACCATAATTATTTGTAAAGTCCTCATATATAGCAAGAGCCTTAGCAAATTCCAAATAAATTGTCCATAATTATAAATCTTCATTATCCTTTGCATCAAATAAAAACTTTCTATCTCCCATTTCCTTCATCTTCTTATACCAATAGGTTGAACCTATTTATAAAGTAAAGTTCTTTTCATTTTCCAAAGCCACTACACAATATATACTCTTAAGTGGAATTGAACATAAAGGTAATTCACAATTAAGAGAGTCTTATCTATTTTAATACAATTTAAGTTCTTTTCCATCCAAAATTACATATCTAGGTACTTATGATACTCTATTTTTAGATTTCTTAATCAAAACTCCTTCTCTCAAAATAATATTTGCATGGTTCTAAGATCTATTGAATTTATTTCCAATTTATTTTAAGATAATGGATTTAAGTGCTTTACTTGACATATTCTAAAATTTTTATGTATCTTAAGTACATTTAGGATTAATTATATTCATTAAAAAGTTAGGTTTAGAATTAGATTTATTATCATCATTATTTTCAAAATTAATCTATTGATAAGCATTAGATTCTGCCATTAACCATTAAAATTATAATTTCTTACATTCTACTAATTCTTCAGTTTCAAAAGGTAAAGGCAATTATTAAATGGCTTCAGCAACAGCTTTATGTAATTATCTTCTTTATTTAAATGTAATTCTCTAATAAAGACAATCTCTCATAAAAGGACAAGTAAAACGATAAAAGATATTTTATTCTCTTACTTCCATAACTTCAATAACTTCTTTAGCCTCTAATTCATCTAAATATTTTTGTAATTTATTATTAACTGCATTTTTAAATGGATTAATTTTATTCAATAATTAAATATCAAATATATCTCCAATAACACTAGCTGCTTTTAATAATAATTATTCTAAACATGATAATTTATCAATTATAGGACCATTAACTTCAATTCTACAATAAGGAGCATCTACAATAATACTTTCTTCATAATTAATTAAATTAACTAATTCATTTGTTATAGTAGCATTTTTTGGACTCAATCTTATTAATTCTAAATCAATTAAATTTTAAACAAAATTCAAAACCATTAATGGATTACCACCAGTTTTCATATAAATCCATTACATAAATAATAATTCAACATCAGTTTTAATTAATGTTTATTTATTTTCAAAAAATAAAAATTAATTATTAATTTCTTTTGATTGATTCTCTTATAAAATAACATCATGAATTGAAGAAGTTATTCTTTTTCTAATTCCACTTTCACTAATACCTTATGGAAATTCTTATTCTGGTGTAAACTTCTAAATATTGAATGAAAATCTTATCATTTTAGCAAATTCATCATCAGTTCCTCCTTTTCTTTCAACTCCTCTTAATTACATTAATATAAATGGATTTCCATCCATTATATCTTCTAATGCTGTTATACCTTCAATAGCAATATCTTCTTGAGATTTTCTTTTCTCTGTAACTTTTGGTTAAATAATCATCTCTTAAAATGAATCTCTATACAATGCTAATATTGTTAATCTATCATATGTTTTTACCATTTATTTCAAAATTTTAAATGATATCTAATCATAATTTTAAATATCATCTAAACATAAAACAACAGGTGCTATTATATTAGTATATTTAATAGAATAATTAATTTATCTTTAAACAGATGATTTCATTACATCCCATCCAATTTAATCAGGAGATCTTCCTTCATATAATTCTGTAAATTTATTAGGTATTTATTCAAAGAAATTACTTAAAAATTAAAATATAATTCTTTTAACATCAATTTCTTTGTCCTCCTCTTATTATCTTGTAGGAAACTTCTCCAAATGTCTATTATCATTCAAACCCACTATCTCTTATAACATTTAAACCATATTCTATGGATGAATATTAATATCCACCATCATATTAAATAAATCCATATTTGGTTATTTCTCTACTCTTTTTGCATATAATAAAAAAATTTATTTCAAAATACTTCTTAATCCATTTAATTTAAATGTCCTAGTAATAGGATCTAATTATTATACAAGTATATGAGGAGACTCACCATATTTCCATGGACTATACTAATTTGAATTAATCTTCTCCTATACTCTATGTAACACTTTTTTAGCTAAAATACTTTTTCCACATCCATATGTTCCTTTTAGAATTATTAAACTTTTCTTATCAACACCTTTAATTACTTTATCAATTTGATTCAATAACTTTTTATGCTATTCATCCCTTCCATATAATTAAATAGCAATAAAATCTGATTTCTTTGCAAATCCATAAGCATAATTATGAATTTTGAAATTAGGTAACAAATTACCTTAAGTAGGTTCTACTAATTTATCAAGAGGTACATAAATGTGGACTGGTGCATTTTTTCCTTTTACTTAAGTTTATCTTAAAAATGCAGTGCTTATACAATTACCAGCACTTTTAGCAGTTTCCAAACATAAAAGAATTTTATGAGTTGTTTCTGAACAAGCTGCTTACATCAATCTAGCTGCAAGATTTACAGAATCACCAAGAACAGAATATTCTCTTCTTGAACCACTTGTACCAACTACTCCTGCAAATACAGTACCTGTAACTATTCCAATAGAACAACCACAATTAATTTTTGGTAATTCTTTATTCATTAATTATGCTGTCAAAATAGCTCTGACAGGATCATTTTAGTGACTTAAAGGAGGAAGACCAAACACAACTATTAAAGTTGAACCCTTATCATCCATTAAAAGCTTATTTAATGATCCTTCATGCATATAAATACATTTTTATACAGTTTTAATGACTCTCTATATCTATTCCAATCCCTAAGCATTTTTTGCAGAATTAAGATCCATTTTTAAATTAACAAACATTATTGACAATCTTCTCAATTCAGCACTCCAAGCTTCTTCATTTATATCAATATAAGGCAAAAGAGCAGCAGGTATATATGATTGAATCTCATTTCTTATCATTTAAAACTATGATAAGGTTATGTTATTTTTTATTAAAAGTGCATCAGCCTTCATTTTCACTTTCGCTTACTATAATTTAATGACTTCATAATGTCCTTCATGATCAACCACTTTTTAACATTCAAAGAAATTGTTAATCATATCATAAATCTATTAAGAGATAATAATTTTTCCACCCTCTGTTAAACAATGCTCAGAATGAAAAGCTTAGATTAATGGATCTCCAGTTGCCAAATATTCCATTCTATTGAAAACTCCTCCAACATGAATTATATTCATTTCTCCTACTCCAAACCCAATCTTTACACTCAATTAAATTCCTTATTCGATCTAAGCTTTTGTTAATTTTTCTTATATTAACAATGCTGATTATATGGCTTATTTTAGTAAAGTTTCTAAATTCTACTGAAAGTTTTAATCATTAGGAGGAGGAGGCCAAATAACAATCATAGCATCTTAAAATAATATAAAATATATATATACCTCCAGCAAATTTGAAAATATCACCACCACTTCTTCCTATTCCTTAAACTAATAATTCCATATATCTATTAATTGCAAATGCTATCCGCTCTGCCCCTTCAGTTCCCAATTAGCTTAACAATTCTGTTAATCTCGTAAATCCAGATATATCTGCAAACATCACAACACTTTTTATTCTTTACTTTTCTGGTAATTTTCTCAATAATTTATTCATTTTAAGATTCAAAAGATGTTACACTACTAAAGCAGGAACATAACCCAAAATGGACATAGATTAACTCTAAAATTATTAAGACATATTTAATGATAATAATTTATTATATTATTTAAGTTGAAATAATAATATTATTTTTATTCTTTTCTCTTCTTTATTCCAAAGTTTCTATATTATAAGTAAATCCTATCATATTTAAATATCTTTTGTTCTGACTCTAAAATAAAATAGAACTTTAATATTTAAGAAATAATAATAATAAAATAGTGCTTTTATATACAATTATATTATATACATTACTGGTTCTTTAAATTAACAATATATTCTTTAATCAAAGTTTTATTAATTTTTATTTTTGAGTGAAGAACTAAATTCTTTTAAAGGAAGATTAAAATAAAATATTAGTAATTATTCAAAAATTGAAAATATCTTAAATTCTTATAGGTTATATTTGGAATTTCTACATTATAATTGAATTTATTTGGATTTAAGAGATTTTAACATAAATAATTAAGTAATGAAAAATGTAGCTGCAAATTAAATTTAGAGATCTACATATAAATATTATAATCAACAATAAAAAGAGTGGTTATATTATTAAGCAATTTAGATAATAGTGTTTCAAACAAAAATTTCTGAAACATAAAGTCAGTAGATTAATAAAGACAAATTTAATGAGAAAATTAAAATTAAAACAATAATATTTAAACTTAAACTTCTCTAAATAATCAATTTAAATTATGAACTTATCCTTTAAGGAAATTAATTAATCTATGTATTTCAATTAATTTTAAGGAATAAAATTTATAATAAATTTTAATGTATACTAATTAAGATTATAGTTAAAAATGTACAATATGTAGATATAGAATTATTATTATTATACATATTAGAATATTATTTAATGAAATTTTAATTGATTCAGTAACATCCATTATGGCGAGTAAAAATGAAAAATTGATTCCTTTAATATTTGATTTACAATATCAAGGGTTCCTGAACAAGGGTTACATAATTAATAGTAAAATAACCATACAGATTGGTTCTAAATTCATTCAAGCATAATATTTTTACCATCAAAAGTGAAGTAATAATATTATTTACTATGATATTTATATTATTTATTCTTTAAACATATATAATATTTAATGTAACCATTTTTTATGTGGATGAATTGACATCATTAATTTATAGAAAAACCTGAATAATTAAAAAATAATCTATAAATATAGGTAAATTATTGATTAATAATTTTAATAATTAACACAGCTTAATTAAGATGGGTAATCAATGTGGTTAGTGTGAATGTAATAATGGAAAGTCTAATTTGTAAGAGAAAGAAATAGTGGTTGTATTATATCATTTAATTGTAAGTTAGATAATAAAGAGATAAAAAACAGCAATCATCAGTCTAGAGGATCAATTAAAAGTAATAAGCAAACTGGTGAACCAAATTAATTTAGCAAAGAACAAGATAAGAGGGTTACAAATAAACAAGTTTCATTAACCAGTTAAAAAAAATAAGAATAGGGAAAATTTAATGAACTTTGTAATGAGAATTCAAACAAAATTAAAGCTGCAATTAAAATATAAAGCAGATATAGAGGGTATTTAATTAGAAAAAGGAAATAATAAAATAAATTGAAGACTGTTTAAAAAAATTCAATACAAGGAGCTAATAAAAACTATATGTAGGAAAATTTTGAAGTTATAAATCTACCTACACAGAAAAATGACGCTTAATTAGAAATGAGAGGACCATATCAATTTAAGAGTGGAGCAATTTATGAGGGTTAATGGAAAGGAAATTTGAGAGAAGGTGTAGGTACTTAAATTTGGAGTGATGGAGCAAAATATGTAGGGGAATGGAAAAATAATAGAGCTTGTGGTAAGGGTATTTTCTACCATGTTGATGGTGATATATTTGAAGGGGAATGGGATTTAGACAAGGCTAACGGAAAAGGAATATATAAGCATTCCAATGGATCAAGATATGAAGGAGAATGGAAGGATGATCTTTAACATGGATAAGGTAAAGAGGTTTGGAATGATGGTTCAAAATACATTGGAGAATATTATCAAGGGAAAAAGCAAGGTCTTGGTAAATATGAATGGCCTGATGGTTCATATTATGAAGGAGAATGGTAAAATAATAAAATAAATGGTCGTGGTGTTTATTGTTGGGCAGATGGTAGAGGATATAATGGTTAATGGTAGAATAATTGTATGCATGGTTTTGGAGTATACACTTGGAAGGATGGTAGAAAATATGAAGGAGAATATAAGAATGATAAAAAAGATGGACATGGAATTTATTATTGGGCTGATGGAAAGAAATACGATGGAATGTGGAGTGAGGGAAAATAACATGGATAAGGATTGTTTGTATTTGCAGATGGGACTTAGAAACATGGTATATGGAAGGAAGGAAAACGTATAAAGTGGCTTGAGATAGCACCTTGAATAGAACATTTAAGAAATAATGAAATTTATATATATATACTTAAATAGTTTATCAAAAATTGAAATCTTTTTTTAATTTAAATAAATAATAAATGGGCAAAAAGGAAACAAAGGATAAGAAGCCAGCACAATTCAAGTAAGTAAATTATTGATATATTTCTATAGAAAGATTTATGAGTTGTTGTCTAAATATACTTAAGTGATCATCGTTGGATTAGCAAATGTTGGATCAAAATAAGTGTAAGACATTAGAAGAATATTGGCTAAGAAAAATGCCCTCTTAGTTATTGGCAAGAATGTAAACATGTTCAATTAAATATTGTAGACTCTCTTCAAAAAAGTGTTGGCTACAAGAGTATAAGAATTACCAGATACTCATGAATATTATGATGAATTAAAGAAATTTGGCAATGCAATCAAAGAATTAGACTCTTTGAAAAACTAAGTTGCAGGCAAAGTTGGATTTATCTTTACAGATACTCCAGTCTTTGATCTTAAGCCAATTATCGAAGAAAATAAGGTTGAAACCCCAGCAAGAGTTGGTGCCATTGCTCCAATTGATGTTGTTATTCCCCCTGGTCCAACAGGTATGGATCCAGCTTCAATTTAATTCTTCCATGCACTCTAAATTCCAACCAAAATTGAAAAGGGTTAAATCTAAATCACAAAAGACTTTGTTGTCTTGAAAACTGGTTAAAAGGTTGGTTAATCTTAAGCTGTTTTATTGTAGAAATTAGGAAAGAAGCCATTTTTATATGGGTATTACAAATAATTATATATATATTAGTATGGAAGTTCTTTCATGTTATGATAATGGATCAATATTGAACAAGTAATAAGTATCAGTCAATTTGAATGACATCGTAACTAAATTCTAATAGAATGTCTAAAATATCTCAGCTATTTCTTTGTAAAATGGTATGATTTATTTTAATTATTAATTTAGGTTGGATTAATGAAGCCTCAGCTCCATATGTATTGGCTAATGCATTTAAAGACTTAGCAGCTATCGGTTTGTAAAGTGGATTCATCTTTGATCAAATTAAGTAATCAAATGCACCAGTTGCAGCTGCTCCAGTGGCTGCTAAAGTTGAATAAAAGCCAGTTGCCCAATAAGCCCCAGCTAAAGTTGAAGAGCCAGAAGAAGATGTTGATATGGGAGGTTTGTTTGATTGATCATGAAAACAATAGTATATTAATAATACATACAAATAACATACAGTAATAGGGTTTTATATATTATCATCATTTATCATAGTAACAAAGACAAAACCATATTCTTTCATGATTATTATACTATTATTTCTATTCAAAAAAAAGTGTTTTGGAATTTTAATAACATTTATTAATTAAATATATAAATACATTTTTTTAAATTCCTTTTAAATCAAATAATTGTTATCTTCAAGTCATTGTCAGAATTTATTCAAGACGTATTAGCTGTTGTTTCTATTAAGTATCAATAGAATTCATCAGAATTTTCGGCAGTCTTAACCCAGAAGGGCTTTTTAAATCTTTTTCCTATATTTAAATTAATTTTTTTAACTTTTATTTCCTCAATGCCTCCAGAGAACAATTAGGTAACTTAACCTTATTTTAATACTAAAATTACGATTATATTATCTCAATATCACTTCACATTATATTTTTTTTTAGACTTCTAAAAAATCAAAACATATTAAGAAAAACAAGACTGATGTTCATGAATATACTGAAGAAAAGAAAAAGGAAATTGAAAAAGTGATCTTTTTTTATGTATATTAATAGGAATACTAACAAATCAAAAAAAGCAATTAATTACATGAGTCATATGAACCTAAGATTTAGAATGTGGTCAGTACAGTGATCTTGAAAATGAAGACTAAGACAGGAGAAGATATAGATAAACTTGATTTGGATAATTTGGCTCACACATCTCAAAATTGTGAATACAAAAAAAGTAGATCTTCATTTAAATTATTAAGGTCGATTTCCTGCTCTGATTTAGAGAATAAAAGAACCCAAGTCTACTGCCCTGATATTTGAAGCTGGTAAGATGGTGATAACAGGTACCAAAGGTTAGAATGAGGCAGAAGAAGCTGCTAATAAAGTTTGAAAAAAGCATTTTATTTAAAGTTTAAAAAACAGATAGAGAAGAACAACAGGATTACTATACAAATAGGCGATATTTAAACAAGTAACATAGTTGCCAACAGCCAATTGCCTTATGAAGTAAATCTGATGAAAATACATGATGACAGAAGTTTATAAGGATCTATCAGCTATGATGTACATAATTCTTATTATGTTCATTTAGCGATCAGCATTCCCTGGATTGATTTATAAGATGTAAAATCCTAAACTTGCTGCCCTCATCTTCTATTCAGGAAAAATAGTCTTTACAGGGGCTAAAAATGACATTTAGATTAGAGATGCATATTGTTAATTATTCAATATTCTCAAAAAACACTAATAAGATAAAGGCAATAAATGAAAGATAAGAATTATTGAATATTTTTGTGTTGTTTACATAACTATTTTAGCTCTACTCATTATAAAGATCTGTATATATTTAATGAACTCTTAAATTAAAAAAATAATTACTTATTAATAAAAAACATTATTAATATGAATTATTTTTTTAATGGATGAGTTTCAAATATACATTTTAATTATTATCATTTATTATAGTCTAAGTATTCAACTATAATATTAAATTTATTTATATATATATATATATAATGAACTTCTCATTATAGCATAAATATTTAATTATTATTAATGAATTCTATTATTATAAACATTTAATCAATTAATTGAATAGTAACAACATTATTGAAATATATTTACTTTGTTTAATTTATAATTGATTAATATATAATTGAATGAAAAATACTTAAAGCTAAAATAAACTATTAATTAGTAAAAGAACAAGGACAACATTGACATTGAATTAGGAAACAAACTAATCTTAAAATTAAACTAGAAAATCATCAATTTAAGTTATCAATTTTAATCAGCAAGATGTAAATTAAAATCAGGATAAGATTTATTGTTCAACTTAACAGAGCTCTCCAAAAAAACATAGAAACACTAAAAGTATATTAAAATATTATTCAAAGGTTTATGCGATACATTAATAAAATCTACTTCATAAAAATCAATAAAAACTTCACAAAAAGATATACAAGAGAATAACATAATTAAAGAAGGAACATTGTATAGAAAGATTTCTCCTAAAGTCATCTTCTAAGATGATAAAATAAATGTTTATTTTGTAAAAGAAATCAATAAATTGATATAATCAAGTGATACAAAAATATCATCTTAAGATATTTGTAATAGAGAATAAACTATATAAGAAATTTCTAATCCTAGAGTTTCAATTAAAGGTCCTATTACATCTAGTTAAAATTTATCATAAGCCAGAATCACTTAAGGAATTTTGAGTGATCCCAAACATTTGTTTGCAATTTCAAATAAAAAGATTAAATTAGATAAAAATGAATCCTTAAATACTAGCATTAAATCTTCCTTGTGTAAATTATTGAAATAATATCATTGACTTTATTTATATACTTTTCTTTGTAACATATCTTGCTGTCTCTTTATAAATATTCATTTATAGTAGAATATTGTTTACTTTATAATTTATTATTAAATTATTTCTAGTAATAAGGTCTTATATTTTAGATTCTAGTTTTGTTTAATTTATTGAGTAAATTTATATTATTAACTCTTTTAATAAAATTTAATTAGAGAATAAGAAAAGAAAGAAATATAAAAATTATAATTTATAATTCTCAAAAGAAATTAAAAGTTTGATTAAATACATTTAGTTTTATCAAATTCTTTTTAATTTTTTAGGATTGAATTTCAATTATGAATTAAGCAAATATAAAAATATTTTATCTATTAAAGAATATAATAATAATATGCATATAAATTAATAATTATTATTAACATAATATTTAATTCATTTAAGTTGGTCTTTTAGTTTCTATTCTAAGAGCAATAATTATTCCTAAAGAATGTTATGATAGAGATTACATAGGTTGAATCAATTTGAAGAAATTACTTTTCCATTTCTTGAGCCTTATCATAAAATTAATTGATTATTTTTGCTTGTATTGTTTCAAGATCAAACTTAATAGAATCAACTGTTGATTTATCTTTAAATAGCTTCTAATTTTATTCTTCTAATTATTGACCTAATTTATCGACTTGTTCAATCTTTTCTTTTGAATAACATTGAATAAATTATTTCATATATATTAATAATTTAATTATGTAAATAGAAGCTGAGAGCAACATAAATATCCTAGAGATTTATGAATCTATTGTTAGCTAATAATTCAATATAGCAATATTAAGATAATGGGAAAAAGAATGGTTATTAGAAAATCATCTATTTCCATACATAAAGAATAATGATTAGTATCTTTAGCATAATAATTAGATTATCAAAAGAGCTTGTATTTACTACAATTGCTATTTTAAACTTAAAATAACTAGAGTAAATCAACATCTAAGACAGTCTTCAAGATTAAGATATCCTCTTGAAGATATTTAATTACATAACAAAAGGATTACCAGACTTTAAATCTTTATAATTAGAGGAAAAATAATAAGTATATACATTTTTAATGTAATTGTTTTGTATGCCAGAAACACAATTCGTTTAAAAAGAATGTTATAAATATTTATCCTCAGCATTATTATTGAGTTCAAATAAAATAGTACAAAATCAATTGTAATAAATTAGTTTTTGAAATGGCATTTTTTGAAATATCCTAAAATGGTTTAATCATATATGAGTGCTTTAAAAGTTTAAGGAGGAGGTTAAAAACCAGAATCTTAATTTATTCCTAATTTAGTTTCTGATATGATTTAAATCATCTTTTCATATCCAATAAGTGAAGATAATTATAAAGAAAATGAAGAATTAATACAAATAGAATCTCAAAATTAATTTAGAACTTTTTTAGAAAGAAATTCAGCTCCACTTCCAACTCCAAAACATATAATAAAAGCATAAAATGAAAAATTATTGTATAGAAAAGTAACATAAATATAAATGAGATACCTTAAATGTATTGAGAAATTTGTAGATTTTATGATTTTATTATTAAGTTCAATTCCAACAAGAAAGTTCTTAAAAATTTATTTACTTTCAACAAATATACTACCATATTTGAAATGCACATTACCTTAATATCATTCATGTGTATTATAAACTTTAGTTTAATCATTTGAACATTATTTAACATATCCAATTAATGATTAGGATGGAGAAGTACTTTCACTTAAAGATTAATAAGTTATGTAAAAAGATTTCTTAAAGAAATTATAGACAGTACTTTATAAATAATTTAAATTTATGGTTTAATAAAAAGAATTGGAAGAATATTAATTTATAAAAAATTTAAGAAGATCAGAAATAGAAAAACTATTTTAAATGATGATATTAGTATTCCCTAATGATTTATAACCAAAATTATATGAACCTGGAAAGAATTTTGATTTTCTTATTTAAGAAGTAATGAAAGCTGCTGCTCCTTCACCTTTTCTAAATCATTATCTAAAAGATACTCCTATTATACCTAATGAATAAATGATTTGGGATTATAAACACATTCCTGAAGAATCTAAAAGTGGTGTATTAAAATAAGTTTTGGCTTTGCCTAAATTGAATTTATAATTTCTATGTTTTGAAGACTATTTAGAAAGAAATTATAAATTATTTAAACTTGAAAGTGCATTTGATTTGAGAAAAGATTTTGAAGATACTATAATTAGAATGGATCCAAAATTTGATTAAAATGGTGCTTTTATATATTTCAGTGGATGGGCTAAGGCAGCAACAGAAGTTATTAAATTTAGGATTCATGAAGTATAGACACCTGAAATAGGAAAGAGAATACCAAGAAGAGTTTATGGTGAAATTCAATATTCTGTTGAAAGGATGGCATAAAATGTAAAAAAGGATTGGGATAGCTTAAAAAAACATTAAGTTGTATTTTTAATAAGCTTTAGAAAAGAAATAGATATGTAGGAATTTTAGAGTGAACTAAGTGAAAGATAGAATTTAATAGATTAAATTGAAGAAAATGAGGGATGTAAACTTTTTTGTGAAAAATATGGTATAAGAGCTATTAGAGGAGCTGAAATAGAATTAGTATATGATGAAAGAAGGAGAGAAATTTTAGATTGGGAAGAACCAGATCCATCTAAAAAATTCTAAGGAAATTTAAGAATACTTCATGTATTTTTAGATTAAGCATAATATTAAGATGATATAGATTGTATTATATTAAATTAATAGTTTTAGCTGGTATAAATGCAGAAGGTGAAATCTATGGAAATTTCAAACTTTTGGTTAAAAGAAATCCAAAAGAAAATAATTTCAAAGCTATTCTTGGATCAATTTAATAAGTTATATTACAGAAACCTTAATTGCCCAAGTTTTTAGATGAAATACTTTTGGGATATGGTGTTGAAGACATTTCTTCATCTTAATATTATATGAAAAATCAAACAGCTAGTGTAAATTTCAGTCTTCTAGATACTGTACTTGATTAATAACACTATGATGATGTTATATAATAAAATTCTTTTATTCCAGAAGATTTGAAATCTAAAATTACTTTTGGTAATTTAAATAATAGAAAAAGAGTTAATAATATTAGATTTACAAAACCTTAAACAAATGCAATAGTTTCAGCTATGTATCCTGGTTTAACATTAGTTGTTGGTCCTCCAGGAACTGGTAAAACAGATGTAACTGTTTAAATTGTGAATTTACTTTATCAAAACTTCCCAAATGAAAAAACACTTTTGATTACTCATTCTAATCATGCTTTAAATGATATATTTTAAAAGATATCAAAAATGGATGTAGATGAGAAACATATGTTAAGATTAGGTATAGGAGTCAAAGATTTAAAATTAAGTAAGACTTTTTCAAGAGAAGGTAGAATTAATCATATGTTAACCAGAAGATTATAATTATTGGAAATTGTTAGTTAAATTTAAAAAAGTGTGTAAATTATGTTTTCAGAAGAATATTCATGTGAGGTATCAGAGATTTTCTTTAAATTACATATTTAAAGACTATGGGATAATTATAGAGAAAAGATCAAATCAGATCCTATGTTTGTTTTTCCATTTAATACATTTGTTGAATAAAACCCATAGCTATTTGAAAAGGCTTAAACAAAAGAAGAATAATATAAAGTAATTGAGGACATATTTGAATAAGTTAGAGAATGTAGACCATTTGAGTTATTGAGAAACAAAAAGGAGAGAGGAAATTATATTATTTGTCATTAAGCCAAAATTGTAGCTATGACTTGTACTCATGCTGCTCTTAAGAGAAATAGTTTTTGTGAATAAGATTTTTAATATGACAACATAGTATTTGAAGAAGCTGGATAAATATTAGAAATTGAAGCTTTCCTTCCATTAACTATGTCTTTAACAGGAAAACTAAAGAGATTAATAATGATTGGAGATCATAATCAATTACCTCCTGTTATTAAAAATGTTAGTTTCTAAAAATTAGCTAATATGGAACAATCCTTTTTTATAAGAATGATTAGATTAGGAGTATTTTATCATCAACTTACAGACCAAGGTAGAACTAGACCAGAGATTATGAAATTATATTCTTGGAAGTATAAAGAATTAAATACATTATAATGTTGTCATCCATCTTCAGATAATTAATTTGGATATGCTAATGCAGGATTATGCAAAACATTTTAATTTATAGATGTTGATTACAAAGGAGTTTATGAAAATAAACCTATGCCATACTTCTATTAGAATATTGTAGAAGCTGAATTTATTGTTGCTACGTAATAATTTTGAATATTCTAAATAGTTATATGTATTTGATCTTAAGAGGTTATGATCCAAAATAAATAACTATTTTAACAACATATAATGGACAAAAGATGCTCATAAAGGATATTATTACTAGAAAGTGTTCTTGGCATTCGCTTTTTAGAACACCAGAAAAAATTACAACTGTTGATAAATTCTAAGGATAATAAAATGATATCATTTTAATTTCAATGGTTAGAACTTCTTAACCAGGTTATTTAAGAGATATAAGAAGAATTATTGTAATAAATATTTAGTATTCTTATAGGTTGCTTTTTCAAGAGCGAAATTGGGTCTATATATTTTTGGCAACTTATCTATATTTAATAAAGTACCTGAATTGTAAAAAACATTCTCTTAATTCTTGTCTGAACCATTACATCTATTACCAACTGAAATGTATAAAACTTAAAGGGCTCATGATGATTTCTAGTTAGAATAATCTCAAAGTGTTAATCATCCAGATAAGATGTATGAAATAATTAAGAAATAATTAATTGAAAGCAAAAGATAAAATTCTAATAATGAAAATTTATCAGAAGTACATTAGGAATAAGAATCTTAGAGTTAATGAAGAATATTATATATATTTAGAAAATAAATAAACATATAATTATCAAAAATTTTATTGGAATCTAATATAAGTATTAATCTAATTAATAAATCATTTTTAAATAATAACATATTTAAATTAATAATTAAAATATATTTATGATATTATAAATTAAATTATTATTTATTTATTACCAATTTTTATTATTAATTTATTTATTAATATTAAATTTGCTAAAAAGAATTATCATGTTTTTATTATTAGGAAATAACAATATGTAATCATAAAAAGTTGAAAAAGAAATATTTAAATTAACATGAATTTATTTGAAATTCTAATTCTATTTAATCATCAATTTTTATTTAATCTTAAATAAAATTTTAGATTATAAATAGATATATAAGTATCCATATTAATTTCTAATATAAAAAAGCATTTTTCTAATATATGTTAATCTTGAAACATTTAGATCACAAATTAAAATTAAATACTACAAAAATCAGCTAATTAAAATCTCAATTTAGTATTAATCATCTCCATTTTATCCTTCTCCCTTCAATCCATTCACCTTATCTTTAATCTCCAAGCTCAGAAACCATAACACCATGACCATGTTACTTACCCTATTTCCACATTCCTCTGTAGCTACTTCCATTTGAAAATCTAAACACTCCAAATCCTTCCTTCATGTCATAGTAATACTAACATTATTGGCATTTAAATATTACATTTCCAGAATACTCTCGTCCATCTGGCCAAGTAAATGTACCTTTTCCATGCATTTAATTATTTATCCACTATCCTTCATACTAAATTAGATATTTTTTATTACTTTTCTTCCATCCTCATACAGAAAAATACCAAATCCCTCATATTTATCTTTCTGAAATTCCCCCATATATTTGCTGCCATCTTTATATGTAATCTCTCCATAACCTTCTCGAAGTCCAAATTTATATCCACCCTTATATTCAAATTATTAATTAATTTCATGCCCTTCACCATGAAACAATTATTATTTCCATTCTCCTTTATAAATAAATCCATTTTAATCTTCAAATTCTCCGTATCCATTAAATTCATTTTCTTCAAAGTTTCCTTCATATCTTGATTTAATTTATATTAGTTACAAACTTCCATCACAACTTATTTATCTTCCTTTGCCTGATTTTTAATCTTTCTTAAATGTTCCTTCATACAAAGTACCATCTATATCTATTTATCTACCAAATCCTTCTTTTTAAAACTATAAAAATTATCCTTAGTAAAGGCATCCATTATTCATTAAATAACATGGATAACTGTTCTATTAAAGGGGCATCAATTCTTTCAATTTGTTTTATATAGATAAATGTAAATTTTAAGGCCATTCTACTTTTTGTGCATCTTTTGGTATCATTTCTATTACTGAGACATTTTATTAGTTAAAATTTTATTCCAATTAATTTTGGTCGATAACAACAACAACCTACTTTTCTAATTATTTTTATTTTTCCAAAAATCCTGAATATATATGATAATTACTTATAACACTTGTTTGAATTTTGATAATTTTAGTTTCATCTAAAGATATCTCATCTTTAGGTATCAATCCAACATCTCCCACAATATTTAACCTTTCATTGATGGAGGAACATGCTTCATTCATATATATTTAATAAATTTTTATTATTCAATTGTATTATCTTAATATGTTCCAAAAACTTTCTCATTATTTTTCCTTAACATTACTAAACCCAAAAAAAAGCAATTAATCGTATTATTAGAAATTTTTTATCATTTAACCCCAATAATATATCTATTTGCAGTTGTATGATAGAAATCCTATTAAATTATTATTAGAAATACTTATAATTAATTAATTAGATTTTGATCAAAATTTCCAAAACTTATAAGAAAATTGTTATGGCTTTCCGAATATAAAGAAGTCGCTAATTATGAAATTCAAGCTCGTGTTTATAGTATTTTCTAATTAAATAAGCAACTATCATTTTAGAATTACAAAATATTTTTATTATTGAGTCTATTAATTATATGAACAAGAAATTAAGAATTATAATACTAAATGCCAATAATTAAAATTGTTAAATATCAGTTGAAAAACTAAAATTTTCTTTATGAAAAATTGTTATAATATTTAGTAAAAAATGAAAAATATATTATTTAATTTGAAAAGATATTTTTATATAATTATGCTTTGTCTATAAATTAAAAGTAGTATAAATAATAAAATTAAAAATTAAAAATATCTCGTTACAATTTATAAATTAGGATTATTTAATTAAAACTCTATATGTTAACACAATCTCATTATATTTATCAATTTTGTTTCAAATTTTATTTTTGATCAATAATATTAATAATTAAATCTTATAATACAATAATTGATCACTCTTTGAACTAAGTTATTTTTCCATTAAAATATACAAAAATCAAATTTTTTAGTTAATCATTGAATTTTAATAATCTTTAAATTATTAATATAATGTATATATATTACTCATATGCAAAATTAAAATATGTGATTACTTCTATTAAGAAGATTATCTCTCATTAAATAGTAGCATAGTAATTTGATATAATAATTAACAAATTATTATTTATTTATTTATATTGAATAATAAAATGGCATCATAATTATTAGAAAAACTATTCCAGAATAATCCTCATCTTAATGAAATTTAAAAAGATCAAATTTAAGAAACATTAAAATACTTAGAGAATCATAAAATATCCCTTTTATTTGAAGTAAAAAAAAAAAGATTAATATTAGGAATTATTGTCATAATTAATATTTGAAATGAGCAATCAACCTAGAAAAACTTTGTTAGATGCACTAAAAAATCATAAAAATCAATAATTCTTTGACACAACAGATTATGAAGTAATATTTGAACACTTTGATACTTTTAATGATAAAACTGTCAAAATTAATTCCATCATATAGGGATTAAAAATAATTGGAATTACAAAATCAGAAGAGGAATTAAATAAAAAATACTCAGCAATTTTAAAAAAAGGGTTTGTCAATAAAAATGAATTTGTTGATATTCTCAATAATGAATATAGTTAAAGATGAATTTGGAATAATATTTATATATATTTATTAAAATTCTTATTATAAATGGACTATCCTTTAGTCATAATATAACAAATGTTATTTAAAGTTGTTTATAATTAAAATTACAAACTTTCATCATTTTTATTACAAAACTTCTTTTCTACTCCAAAATACTAGTTGGAGAGAACTGTAATAAATAAAGAATTCAAAGAATTGAACTTTAGATGCTGCTTTCTATAAATAATCATTTTATTTCAACCTTTGGATCTTTAATATTATTTATTGTATTGGATATAAGTTAAAATTAATTCCAATCTTAATAATCTAAATATATAAGTAAATTCAATTATAGAAGGTTTAAACAAATTATCAAAGTCTTTTTGAACTTTAATTATTGGTTATCTATTTCTATAAAGTAATAACTATTGTTAAATACCTAATATTACACTTAATATTTTGCAATATAATTTTCGGCATGTCACAAATATCATTTTACAACATTGATAAAATATCTAGAAAACGTTAGACATTTCAAAAAATATATTGTATATATTCTAAATTTTAGTTTGAACCAATAATGTGAGTAAATGGCATATTTTGTAAACTAATTAATTATAGGTAAAAAAGAATATTTCCACTGTTAACAAATTATTATAAGTAGCACACTATTTTTGTTAATGAATATATAAAATATACATTGCAAATTAAATACATAAATGTTTTAAATCCAGATTCATCAAAAATTCAAAAATTTGTAAAATTAGATTTATGGAAATAAAAGTTCATAATATCCCTATATATCTTATTCAATAAATCTAAATATATTTGATTATACTAAAAAAATTTGATTATAAATAATAACTTAATTAAAGATGGCTATGATGGTTCCCCCCCAAATGAATCCAAAATATAAAACGTCTCTTTGTAAGCATTGGACTACAACAGGAAATTGTAGTATTGGATCTAGATGTCATTTTGCTCATGGAGAAAGGGAATTACGTAATCCTAATGATGTATAAAATATATTCATGAATTTATTTAGCCATTACCATAATTACCAAGTCAAAATTTATAAGATCCTAAACTTCTATAAGTTTATTTTTCTGGCAGTTTGGGAATTCATAATTATAAAACTACATTATGCAAATATGCCAGCAATAACACTTGCAGATATTAAGAAATGTGTCATTATGCACATTCTCCAGAAGAAATGATTCCATTTGAGAAGGTGAGAAATGTTACTACACAAGTCTTGATTTCAAACTATGTCTCTTTGATCAAGAGTCATTATTTATTAAATAGTCATNTAATAAATAAAGAATTCAAAGAATTGAACTTTAGATGCTGCTTTCTATAAATAATCATTTTATTTCAACCTTTGGATCTTTAATATTATTTATTGTATTGGATATAAGTTAAAATTAATTCCAATCTTAATAATCTAAATATATAAGTAAATTCAATTATAGAAGGTTTAAACAAATTATCAAAGTCTTTTTGAACTTTAATTATTGGTTATCTATTTCTATAAAGTAATAACTATTGTTAAATACCTAATATTACACTTAATATTTTGCAATATAATTTTCGGCATGTCACAAATATCATTTTACAACATTGATAAAATATCTAGAAAACGTTAGACATTTCAAAAAATATATTGTATATATTCTAAATTTTAGTTTGAACCAATAATGTGAGTAAATGGCATATTTTGTAAACTAATTAATTATAGGTAAAAAAGAATATTTCCACTGTTAACAAATTATTATAAGTAGCACACTATTTTTGTTAATGAATATATAAAATATACATTGCAAATTAAATACATAAATGTTTTAAATCCAGATTCATCAAAAATTCAAAAATTTGTAAAATTAGATTTATGGAAATAAAAGTTCATAATATCCCTATATATCTTATTCAATAAATCTAAATATATTTGATTATACTAAAAAAATTTGATTATAAATAATAACTTAATTAAAGATGGCTATGATGGTTCCCCCCCAAATGAATCCAAAATATAAAACGTCTCTTTGTAAGCATTGGACTACAACAGGAAATTGTAGTATTGGATCTAGATGTCATTTTGCTCATGGAGAAAGGGAATTACGTAATCCTAATGATGTATAAAATATATTCATGAATTTATTTAGCCATTACCATAATTACCAAGTCAAAATTTATAAGATCCTAAACTTCTATAAGTTTATTTTTCTGGCAGTTTGGGAATTCATAATTATAAAACTACATTATGCAAATATGCCAGCAATAACACTTGCAGATATTAAGAAATGTGTCATTATGCACATTCTCCAGAAGAAATGATTCCATTTGAGAAGGTGAGAAATGTTACTACACAAGTCTTGATTTCAAACTATGTCTCTTTGATCAAGAGTCATTATTTATTAAATAGTCATTCGATTCCTGGATTTAATATCAATTAAGAATAAGTGGAAGTAATCTTTAAATATTTATGATTTAGTTAGCACTTTAAATGGAATTCCAAAAATTGATAGTGGCTTAATAATTGAAATTTGTTTTAAATCATCTTGATAAGATGGATTATACTTAATCAGAATTGAGATTGAAAATAAATACAGCTCATGAATTATTGAATGCTAACAACTTTCCAGGTTGTAGTTAAACTATCAGTGATATTATCAATAGACCAAATGTACCTACAGATGAAAAGAAACATTATTAAGATATCCTTTATGAAAGTGCTTAAGAAGGATAAAGAATAGTGGAAGGATATTAAAGATAAATATTTGAATTCTAATGTGAATAAGCTTAATAATTACAGGAGACATATTAAAAGAGTGAGAATCCTTAAACTTTATTTGGTAATGCACCTACTCTTCCTACAACAAGTATACCAGGATATCGGTTTTGATATATAAATATTTTAAATATGATTTCATAATAACCATCTAATATATTGAACCATTCTGATATTATTGATGAAGCAGAGCAATTATCTTAGAATAATTCAATCATTTAACAAATGTTTAAAGAATTAAGTTTATCACCAGAATATCCTGATTATTCAAGTGTAGATTATTGGAACAATAGATACTCTAAGTAAAAGGACAAATTTTTTGAATGGTTACAAACTTATTCTACACTTTAACCTTTTATTCATAATTGTTTATTTGGTAGATTTGATATTAGTTAGATATTATATGTTGGTTGTGGGAATTCCTAATTATAAGATTATATGTAATTAGATGGTATTAAAAATATACGATGTGTTGATTTTAGTGATGTTTTAATTAGGTAGAAACAATAATAAACAATACCTTATTATTTAATGGATGTAACAACAAAAATTGATTTTGAAGATGAAGAATTTGATTTTATAATTGATAAATGTCTTTTTGATAGTTTGATGAGTGGATAATCCTTTTTTGAAAGAGTTTCAAAATATTTAAGTGAATGTTTTAGAATCTTAAAACCTAATGGTACTTTTATGATAATATCATATGGACATCCAGATATTAGAACAATATATTTAAAGCTCTTCAAAATTTAAATAATACCAATTGAAAAAACTAAAATAGAATAATTTAATGATATAGAGCATCATTATATATATATGTGTACTAAGTGATTAATATATTTCTCATGTATATTTATTTAAAAATTTAGATATGAATCCTGTTTTATTTGGATAAAAATTTTGTTCTGTTTAACTCATTTATCTACTTTTAGATAGTAATTAATGATTTAATAATTCATTCTCTTTTATATATTTGGTATTGAGCATCATTAAATAAACTTCATTTTTTTCTGATTCTATTAACTATTTAGTTAATTTATCTATCCTTATCTTAAATTGTTCTTTTTCTTCATAATATTGCTAATTTAATTATTCTAATTCTTAAATGTATTTAAGAGAAATCTATTCATTTTAGAATTAAATTATTTCTTATTTCTAAGTAGAAATGAGACAGAGTAATTCTTTTTTTAAATTTTATAATTCTAATTGCACATATTTTATAAGAGCACTAAAAGTTTCAGTCAATTATTTTTTAATAGAATCAAATTTCATTGCTTTTTCATCTACAACTGATTTCATAACATTTAATTGTTGTTACAATTTTCTATACTCAAAATCTTTTAACTTTAATTCTAACTAAAATTGCAAATTCATTAATTATATAATATTAACTAATTATATTAATCTCAAAAAACATTCAACAAAAGGATTCTTCTAAAATAACTCTATTCTTTCTTTTTTAATTGTTAAATCTCAATTTATAAATGTAATCAATATAAATCATTCATTTAATCTATCTAGAATATCACAAAGTAATTAAGATGTCCATCTTGACTACTTAGGAATTTAATTTAATTATCCTAATCTGGATTCGATATTATCCAATTCCAAATGAGGTTTGAATCTCTACATTGCTGCAGTTCCTAATGATAATTGATGATGTTCTTCCCTCATTCCTAATTAACCTCTAAGTTTATTTATTTCATTTCTTTCAACTTTTATCTTTTTTTCATAATTTATAACTATACATTATCCCGCATCCTTTCTATGGCTTTCAATTAATTTTATTGTAACAACTATTTTATTGAATCTGTCATATAAATCAAATCATCCATCAAAGACAAATCAAATTTCTCAATTACTCTCTATTCACCATTAATAAATTAAACATCTCTTATACAACAAAGTCGAGAAATCTCTGAAAATTCATATAATTCCTCTGTTTCAGGATTAATTAATATTCTATAAAGATTTTTCTTCATTCCAATCAAATTTTTTACAACCTAAAACAATTTTCTTGAATTGTTCAAATAATCCTAACTCACAATCAATTTATACTTTCAATTAATGAAGGTTATGAATCAGATTATATAATTATTCAGTAAACTTTTTATATTATTAGGCTAATGGATTACGTACTGTTTCTAACAAACTAATCTTCTTTCGTTTGTCACCTTATTCTTTTAAACCTTTTAATCTTTGTAAAGTAGTTTAACTTTCTGTTTAAAATAACTAGACTTCCTCTTTTATTTTTTTTATTGTTGCATCACCAACTAAGGGAGACCTAAAAGTTCTCACAGAATTTAAATGCTCTAAGTAACCTTATAAACTATGATCCTTTTAAAGTTATATTCTGGGAGTGGTGCTAATTTTTTATTTCTCCTTTTGACTTCTTTCAAAACCTGATTCACCTTAATGGGTTAAATTTATTTTTCGAGTTGATTAGGATACCAAGTGTCTTACTGGGGCAACAGTGTGAAATCGCTTAGTTGTTCTACTTACTTGATCTCGACGATGGAATGTCAATGTCTCTTAATGTTTAAAGATAGGAAAGACTACACTATTCTTTAAAATAAGACTCATATAAATATATTAATTTATGGATAGCAAAAAAGGAGATTAAAGAACAAGAAAAACTTAAACCCATTGATAAATTCTAAATCTTCTATTTTAGATAAAAAGATAATATAGAGACTTTGAAATCCCAACTGTAGAAATAACTATACTAGAAATAGAAATATAATTTTTGTTATATAAATCATTATACAATAATTTAACATCTTATTTTATAAATTACTAATACTTTATTTCTTTCTTATACTCAAATATATTGTTTTTCATTTGTTTAATTAAGTCTTTTTAATTGAAACTTAACTATTTAAGTTTTTAATTAAAATGCTTTCTCTTTAAAATCTAAAAATCATTTTCATTTTTCAACCTATAATGGAGTCAAATCTATTTTATAAAATTATCTTCTAACTCTCAGGATATTTATTTAAATTATTTTTTGTATTCTCAAACAAATATAATTTAAAACAAATTGCTCCTTCTTTTAAGTAAAGTTGCTTTTTAAAATGTTTTTATTAATAATTTTAAATATTCTTAGAGTAAATTTAAAAAAACCATATCTAAAGGATTAAATACTCTTATTTCCTTTACTCTTATTTCCTTTACTTCTATTTCCAAAGTTTAAAGTAACTATAAATTCTTATCAAATGTTAAAATGATTAGAGAAAGGATGATAATTTGATGGCACTATAATTATTAATAAAATTTAATTAACTTAACTTCAACAATACAAAACACCTAATAAAATCAATAATGTATTTTATTTTATTTATTGATTTTCCTTTTCTTTATGTTATTATTAATATTGATAACTTTAACTATTCTTAATAATCCTAATAATTTTAAATATACTTCAATTTCCGTTATCCAATAAAATCCTAAAAAGTTATGTTATCTGTTGGTCCCTTCTATTCTCCATTAATATTTTCTCCAAAATACTGATCTAAATTTAAATCACTGATGAAATAATCTGTATAGGGCAATCTATTATAAGTCACTTGATTCTAGGAATAAATCTATAAGGCAATTATAAAGTTCATGTATTAAAAAAGTGAATTTATTCAAATTAGATGAAAAATCTTTCAGCAATTAGATAGAGTTGTAAAGATCTGGTAATTGAAAGATTCAAATGAGTTTTAAGTTTTTCATAGCAATAATGGAGTCATAAGAAAATTAGGTTATATAGGAGAGAAATACTATATATCATCTTATGTAATTTTAAGAATTTGAATGAAGATGTTTACAAACATCATTTATCTCAATTAAAAGGTAGTATGTTAATCAAAATAAAATATTTATATTGATTTTGGATAGCGAACCAATACACTAATGTAAAAAGTACAATATTGTTGACTTAAGTATAATACATATTTTTACCCCATTTTCACTTAAAGTTAAACCTGTTAAAATAAATGTGGCACCCTTTATAAAGATTTTTTTAACAATTAATGAGAATAATAGACGAATTTGCACCTATCAATTCATAAGGTTTATAATAAAGTAATAGATGATTTCCTCAAAAGTGATTCATTATCTCTTTTTTATTATTTTCCAGAAAGCTTTAAAGAAGATTAATTTTTGATTTTAATATTTATGTGTAATAACTTAAGTCGATTAATATATTCTGTATTTTATTGAAAGGAAAAGTGAAAAAAAAATTGATTGATAATATCTTTATTATCTTAATTTTATCATATCATCTTCAATTACTAAATTCTATTGTTATTGTATGATTGTAATCATCTGGCACAAATATTTGATATATTTTTTAATTCCAATCAGATTAAGAAATTCTCTTATTTTTAGATAGCACAAATAAAGTAGTATTTCTATTTAATTATATTCTAAAATATAAAATAATGTGATACTAAAATCCTTATTAAGCTGCCAACATATAAATGTCATTGATACTATCCTTTAGTTAAACTTGGAATATTTTACTTTTATTTTAATTGGCAACATTTATGGATATAATTTTATTACTATATTGTAAGATCTCTAAATCGAGTTTCAAACTTTATATGTTCTCATCTTTTTGGATAATTTCTTAATTTATTAATTATCTTTCCTAAATAAATTATTATATATTTTGATTTAATTATTCTTTATGTTAATTTAATTATTATATCTCTTAATTGAATAATTCTTTATCCTTATTTAATTATTCTTTATCCTAATTTAATTAATTTATCTTTTGATTTAATGATTATATCTCTTCATTTAATTACTCTTTATCTTAAATTAATGATTCTTTATCCTTATTTAATTATTATATCTCAAAATTTAATTTATCAATATTTTAAGTTAATTAGTATATATTTTAATCTTTTATATCTAAATTAGCCTAAATGTTATTTATTTCTAATTTAAGATTGTTAATAATCTGATTATATTCTAGATTTTTGTTATTATAATCCTCATTCTATTATTTTAATTCCTATATTTATGAATTTAAATGTCTTAAGTTATTATTAAGTTAATCATTATCTTATTTTTTTTCATTTAAAATGGCATTAAGTTATTCGATTTCTTAATTATATATCTATTAATTATTATTTTTCTATTCTATTTCTTAATTAATCTAAAATCTTAATTACTCTATTTCTTTATTTTTATCTTTATTCAATAATTCTTAATTAAGCTTTTCAATAATTTCCTTTTACTAAACAATTTGTAATTTTTTTTCTGTCAAATCAGATCCATGGTTTTGTATTAATTATTTCAAATTAGCATTTTAAAGATTTATCACTTATAAATCATTTTATAATTATTTAATTCTATCTGCATTATTTTTAGCATTCTATTTTAATTATTAAACTAAGTTCTCTTGTACTTATTTCTCTTAAGAAATATCATTAATTTGATTTTTTAATGTTATTATTTCATTACATTATTGTTATCTTTTTTGAATGAGTTAATTATTTTTATTTTCAAGTGATTTAATTAATTGCCAATTTCTTTCAATGAAAATATTATCTTTTGAAATCGATTTCGATCTTAAATCTCTTCTAACTTATATTTCACTCTTTTGACTAATATTAAAACTACTACTTCGATATCTTGTTATTTATTGATTGTTTTGGGTTTATTACTTTATTAATTAATATTATATTTTGACAATATCCAGATCTGCTTAAGTTTATCTTTTTATGTTTATCAATTCATTAATGTTATTCTATAATTAATTAAATCTTATTTCTATCCCTGGTAAATCTTATTATATTGTATAATAATTCTAATATATTCTTAAGCTATCAATTTGTTAATTTAATTCTTAAATCTTTAAGTTTTATCTATCTATTATATCATTTCGAATATAAATATCATTTAACAATTAAATATTATAATTCTATAATGTATTAATAAATAACTANTGAATAATTCTTTATCCTTATTTAATTATTCTTTATCCTAATTTAATTAATTTATCTTTTGATTTAATGATTATATCTCTTCATTTAATTACTCTTTATCTTAAATTAATGATTCTTTATCCTTATTTAATTATTATATCTCAAAATTTAATTTATCAATATTTTAAGTTAATTAGTATATATTTTAATCTTTTATATCTAAATTAGCCTAAATGTTATTTATTTCTAATTTAAGATTGTTAATAATCTGATTATATTCTAGATTTTTGTTATTATAATCCTCATTCTATTATTTTAATTCCTATATTTATGAATTTAAATGTCTTAAGTTATTATTAAGTTAATCATTATCTTATTTTTTTTCATTTAAAATGGCATTAAGTTATTCGATTTCTTAATTATATATCTATTAATTATTATTTTTCTATTCTATTTCTTAATTAATCTAAAATCTTAATTACTCTATTTCTTTATTTTTATCTTTATTCAATAATTCTTAATTAAGCTTTTCAATAATTTCCTTTTACTAAACAATTTGTAATTTTTTTTCTGTCAAATCAGATCCATGGTTTTGTATTAATTATTTCAAATTAGCATTTTAAAGATTTATCACTTATAAATCATTTTATAATTATTTAATTCTATCTGCATTATTTTTAGCATTCTATTTTAATTATTAAACTAAGTTCTCTTGTACTTATTTCTCTTAAGAAATATCATTAATTTGATTTTTTAATGTTATTATTTCATTACATTATTGTTATCTTTTTTGAATGAGTTAATTATTTTTATTTTCAAGTGATTTAATTAATTGCCAATTTCTTTCAATGAAAATATTATCTTTTGAAATCGATTTCGATCTTAAATCTCTTCTAACTTATATTTCACTCTTTTGACTAATATTAAAACTACTACTTCGATATCTTGTTATTTATTGATTGTTTTGGGTTTATTACTTTATTAATTAATATTATATTTTGACAATATCCAGATCTGCTTAAGTTTATCTTTTTATGTTTATCAATTCATTAATGTTATTCTATAATTAATTAAATCTTATTTCTATCCCTGGTAAATCTTATTATATTGTATAATAATTCTAATATATTCTTAAGCTATCAATTTGTTAATTTAATTCTTAAATCTTTAAGTTTTATCTATCTATTATATCATTTCGAATATAAATATCATTTAACAATTAAATATTATAATTCTATAATGTATTAATAAATAACTAGTACTTTCAATTTCATTACATTTCTTGTTTTTATATTTTCTTACAGTTCTCTGATTGTTTCTTAATGTTTCTAAATCGCTTATTTATCCTCACCAGCTTTTCTTTTTAAATTAATTGCCATCGATCGAGTAATATTGAGTTATTTTCCTTCTTTGACGAATAAATCGAAATTTTATGTATTTTCTATTTTTTAAACCAAAGCTTCATAATTTTTTATATCTCTCTAAATTTTAATTCTAATTGATTACTTCTTTTTACTCCATCAAGGTTTTTAGCTTTTTGAACTCCTCTTATAAATTGTTAATCTTTTCCTATTTAGCATTTAGCTAATTTATTAGTTCTTCTTGATCAGGAAGATTGGTCAAAGTTGTTCTATGTCTCTACTATTAGTCATTTTATCTAAATTTTGAATATCACCATACAATTATAATAAATATTGGCTTCTCCTTGACATGAATTGTGAATTTTGAGTTATAAACCTTTGATCTAAGTTCATATAAGATTATTTTATAAAATTTATTTTGATAAATTAAAACGATTCTTTGATTTTATATTGAAGTAGAATCTTTTTTTTGGCATCAGTTATTTTCATATAATACCTTAATTACTCTATAAATTTGACTAAAATGATAAAGTTACAAACAGTTATCATTTTTTTATATTAATTATAACATAAAGATTTTTATGAATATTTTTATTATCAAAAAACATAAAATCTATTGTAAACGTCAACTTAAACCCATTCTTCTCCTTATTATAGAATTTTTTGAGATAATTCAAAAATTTTTTTTTCTCTATTTCATTAAAGTAATATCATTCATATATTTCTAGAATTAATTTTCTAATCCTAATCTATTTTAGATTTTAGATTATGACTTAATTTCTCACATCATGGGTGTTGATTTAGTATCGATTTGTTTTTTTCTCAAAGGTTTAATATAAATTTAGGTATCAGAATATTTGTGCTTTAAAGTATCCAAAAAAATGATCAGATTTTCATTTAACTTACTTCTGAGAATAATGTATAATAATTAAGTCTTTAATTTAGTCATTAATTAAGCCATCTATTTAAGTAATTATAATTCTAGTTTTAGTGGTTGATCATTATTAATGCCAAAATATATAGTCAGTCTAAAATAACTTTATTATGCTGTATTTATAAATCTTAAAATTTTCAACTTTCTATTAATGAGATTATTTTTGTTCTAGTTTTAAAAATCATAATTATGTTTGAGAATATTTATTGATAT